TTTGAACCCTAATTGTTGCCTACATCTTGGCGCAATATTTTTAATAGGTGCGTTTTAATCATTTGCTTCTGCTTCTGAATTATCGGTTTTCTTGTTTTAATCTGACAGGTTAAAACGACTAAACCGACAATTCCGGAAGCAGATGCGGATGATTAAAACGCACCTAATATTTTGCTGATATTTTCTTTCATAAAAAATTAAATTATGGGTGAATTTTCCCGAAGGATATCGCCCGCAAAAGGAATAGAAGAAGAAGAATAAGAAGAAAAACTAATCAAATTAATTTGCTTATAGACAAAAAAATATTAATTAAGGATAGTTTACAATAATGTAAGTTAGTAGTAGATAAACGGTTAATATAATAGAAAGTAGAGACCATTTATGAGGTCAATTAATGCCTGATTTTTGTCAACATTAACTGGATGGATTAATACACGGAAACGGAAAAATATGTACAGTTGGTTTCACATAAAATGCGTGCATACAAAAACCAAGTAGGTTTTGTTAATATTAGGCATTCCAACGACCTGTCCAAATGGCTACCAGTGGGTAATGACAGTTTAGAAATGGCAACCCTGTTGTCATGTTGACATTAATAGGGTCAATGATACATATATAGTTATATAGATTGCTCAAAGATGGTCGTTTGCGAGCGGCCATGTTGCCTGGCAAATATTTATTAATTTGAATCGGTTTAGCAAACATGTTTTTTAAAACCAATTGTCAGCCTTTAGATATTTAAAAAATAATAACTGCTTACATTTTTACATCAAGGCATAAGCTTGTTTATTTTGAAAAATATGGATGATCAATCTATGTAACTATCTATTTCATTGACCTTGTCAAATCACTAGGCCTACAGGGTTGCCATAATTTTGCCATATCATAACCTGTCAAAACCCACTGGTAGCCATTCAGTTTGGAATGCCTAATAGTTAACCCTGCGCTTTTTAAGGTGCACCTGGAGCACGACTTGCTAATTGTTGTTGTTTCATGACACATAAAACGGGTGCAAAATAAATGACTGGATTTGTGTGGATGTGATAAAAAAATGTTTTTTTTTTGTTTTGTGTTTGTTTTATCTGGAACCCATCAAAATTTGTTTACCTCTGGCGGGGCACCTGCAGTGAGTGTGCTACATGGGCCTGGCACCACCTGCATATTAAGGCAGGAACCCGCCACTGGTCCAATGTATTAATTCCTCAGAGTAAGGCAACTGCACTGAAAAATAACTATTCACTTATTAATAATTGATTTCAGATAAAATACGTACATAACCAAGCACAATACATAGTTAATTCTCAGTGTAGTTGCGCCATTTTTGCTTCAACCGTCTTGTACCCATTAGTATTACATACTTAAACGATTTTAAATTTTATTATTGGTGATAGAAAAGAAGGAGCTTAGAATTTTTTTTCTGATAGATGTTACCTTATCAATTTTAGTTTTTACTTTCGCTACTATGAAAAATCTAATTCTACAATAAAGTTTTGTTATTAACTTGAATATTTTAATTCTATAGCTTCTCTTCTCCTACATAATAACTAAATTAAATGCTCGTCATATTCATTCGAATTATTTTCAAATAGAAAAGTAATGGGGCGTTTGTTAAATATTTCAATATAATCTGGTTCCGAATAAGGCATTATGTTGTTAGTAACCACTAGTCTTTGGGCAAAGAATACATACCCAAGAAGCGAAACTGAATGAGTTTTTCTATGTACCAAAGTAGCAGCGACCTTGACGTAAATGGGAACTTAATACACTGGGAAACGTATAATTCCAATCAATTTTTGTTGTTTGGTTCATGAGAATTAAACACATATCAAAGTTAAAATGACGGAAAATTCTTACTATGTTCAATAGATAATGTTAATAATAATAATAATTTTAGTAATAAGTACTGTAGGTAGCTGTAAATGTATTTTGATTGCATGATCCTGATAGCAGCGACTTGGTTCCTCAAAGTGAGTCTGTCATATATATTACTGTTTTAATCCTTACTATAAAATTGTTTATATGTACATTATTTAATGGATTAAATCGATCACAGTCCGTATGGTTTGAGAAATAAAATAGTATATTACATTACGAGTGTGGAAAGTGATATTTTTCACACAAGTGGGAAATATGGTCACACGAGTGTGGAAAATCACTTTTCACACAAATGATGTACAATATTTTTTCTACGACCACAAAATAATGATATCAAAAAATGTAAAACCAGGTTATTATTACTATAATAATTAAAATGTATTTAAAAAAATAATCAACAATAATCGTATTTAATCAATTTTCATACTTTCTAAACAAAAAAAATACTAAAAATAAAAAAAAAAAACAAAAAAAAAATTCTGGCCCCGCCAAGATTTGAACGCGGTCGCTCGCCAAGTCTCAAATGCCAAAGTTAATAAGTTCGACGTTCTAACCATCTGAGCTAATAGCCCTTACGTCAATTGAATGATCTAATCGGTTATGTATTTAACCAGAATAAAAATAAACATATCTTAGTTATTTTAAAATTATTTTAATAATAATTGTTAAAGATAAATATCTAGGATCTAATTTACAACAATTTCAATAATTTAACAATCATATCGATTTTAGTATTAATATGGACATTACATAGATCAAAATAGAAATTATATGTTTAACATTTTCTGACAGCTACTGCGGAAAGTAGCATATTCGTACACGGGTGGAAAGTAAATTCTTATTCATACGCGTGTGATATAGGGCACTTTCCATAGTGTGATATGTGTCATTTTTCTAAGTGGTCGTAGGAAAATATATATATAAAAAAGATTGAAATTTAACGTTGCATAATAAGTAGACGTAATAGTATATTATGCAACGATCATGTAATAACCATTACATGAGAGTGATATACGCCATTTTTTTACACCTGATAAATAATCAAGAACTATAAATATTACTAACAGTAATTACTCGTATTTCTATAAATAAACATCTACAAAATTGTAATTGATGGTATTACCTCGAATATTGGTATTACCATAGATTTTTGGTGCAAAATATTTTGCACTGCATTTTCTGATTTCTCCGATATGTGTGTAGGAGTCGATGGTAAGTCTTCTATATCGCTGATATCAGACATTTTGATAATACAATTATCTACGAAAATTTAATACGTACTGATTTTGACAACTTAAACAATTAGGCATTCCAACGACCTGTCAAACAATACCTGCCAGTGGGAAGGTCTCGTATATCTAAGGGGGTAGCGACATAGTCTTGCATCTTAGACGCTATTTTTATTCGAAATATCAGTCGTCAATCCTGCCAGTTTTTAAAAAAATGTACAAGCAGTTTTTTTAATTAATATTTTTATAGTGTTCGATATAAAATATTTAAATGTAAGCCATTATTCATGATTTTACGTATTGTAGATAGAATACATCGTATGTCGCAACCGTCAGATCGACCAAACCTGCCCACTGGCAATTCATTTGTTTGGAATGCCTAATTACATAGGAACTTAGGACATACGTCAAATGCACAGCATGCTTAATTGAAAAATAATCGGTTTCTAGTGAATAAAAATCTCTATCGTTATGAAAAATCTGTATTATAATGGGTATCATTATGAAACAGATTATGGGCTTATAAGTGCATTATTATAATATGGGTGTAGAAAAATTATCATTTAATACTGAATTAGAAGTTAAAAAATAAAACAATTACGGCCAGATGAAAGAACGTTTATTAAAATGTATAAGCCTGATAAACTTTTACAGAGAGTGAGAAAGTGATATGATATAAACTTTCAAATACTCACAGTCTAATACATGTTAACAAACGTTCTTGCAACCGGCTGGTAAACTCGTAATTTAATGAGTTTTTTCCGGCCTTTTAATGTAAAAGCTATTATAAATGTTTCAATATACTTAATTTACGTTGGGCCTTACTCTTTTTTTTAACGTTTTTCTGCATTTTTCTGTTATGCGAATTACAATATTTTAAGGAATAATATATTTTTAACCTAATAAATAATTTTAAAATATATAATTCTGGAAAGAATAAACATGGATGTTGAAACTCGATATTTTTCATCTCCTGGGAATTTAAACATTGTTAGCCCTTGTTCTGAAGTTGTAACACAACCACGAACAACGCAATGTATTTTTTCAATGTAATAAAAACCTTTAAAACTATCTAATATATAATTATAGAGAAAGTAAAAGTTGAAAAGTCTTTTGGTAGGTAGAGAGGGGGTAAACGTCAAACAACGTCGGGCGGCTCCGAGAATTTCACAGTAATGTTTACCTGCCAGTGTCGTTTCATAGAATAAGTAATTTTAAATTGTTATCGGCGGAACCGGACAATCGCATGTATTTATGGATTATAAATAATTATTAAACATGTATTATAATATTCAAATTATAATTTTACAAAATTTCAGCAGCTATTCACAATTTATTAAACTATTTACTCGAAATTGTTATTAACATCTATAAAATAATTTTGTACGCCAATGTATCGCGTCCACTTCGGTGAGATCCGGTGCCAACCTGTCAATTTATGTGTATAAAGTGGGAGAACTGGCAAAAGCATTTCCAACTTTTACTTCTGTTCTACTACTTTTAAATAAACCTACTGAAATTTTCTCAAAACGCTAAGAATAATATACCAAACGTCATACACTACATGAACTGACAACTATATTTGACGTTAAACTACCTCTAAAACACTGAGAAAACTTGGCAATTTTTTGTCCACGAATCGCCCATTTAGTGTCGCTTCTTGGGTAGGTATTCTTTGCTTTGGGGTGTACCAGTCACAGTACCAGTAAATAAAATCATTTGTTGAATTATTGTACCAATAGGTGTCAGCCGCGATTGCCTCCAATACACATACTTTGATTTAAAGTATGTGCTCCAATAACTTCCTCAACCGGGAAACCTAATATTAAGCTGGTAGAGACCTATATTTCCTGAAAAGGAAGAAGAGTAATTTGAAATTTGACGTATGTGTCAAAAGCGTCAGTTGTCAATGTCAACTGCGGACAACGTCAACACGTTCAATTTTTAAATAATGTAAACAGAATGAACAAGTAAAACATAAATAAATTTTTCCTATTAAACTAAATAGACTCGGTTGATGTTTCAACTTACAATTTACAAAATTCTTGATTTTTAAAGCATTAACTCGTAAGCAATATTTATTTTTTAATTATAAAAATCTGTTTTAATACATGACGTGGCTTTGATGTAAATGCGATATAACCTCTTTGATCACTTCCAGGGATTTAATGAATTAATATGAACGTGATGGAAAGAAAAAGAAATAAAACCAAAAACGCTGTTTCCTCCCAAATGGAAAATGGTGAATTAATATCGACTTCTTCATCATCATTCAGCAACATTAAAGGAGATGAAAGAAATATTTTTTTGTTATTTTTCTTATATACCTTACAGGGAATTCCATTAGGACTTTCAGCTGCAATTCCTATGATTTTACAAAATAAAGGAGTTAGTTACAAACAACAGGTAATTCATAAAATACTTAGATCAAGGATTTTAAACAGTATATTATATCTAATCTGTTACTCTTTTTTTAACCATTTTTGTTACTATTATAGTTTATAGTGTAAATATGAAAACTTGGACATATTATAAAATATCTATTTTTAGGCTGAATTTAGTTTTGTGACTTGGCCATTCAGTCTAAAATTGTTATGGGCTCCCATAGTTGATTCAATATATTCTACTAGGATAGGTCGTAGAAAAACATGGTTAATACCTACACAGTATTTGATTGGAGCATTCATGTTACTACTATCGAAACATGTTTACAGATGGCTTGGAGAAGATGGGAGTCCTCCTAATATTGAAATTTTGACTTTGTTGTTTTTTTCCCTAAATTTCTTAGCGGCAACGCAAGATATTGCAGTTGATGGGTGGGCATTAACCATGCTCAAAAAACAGAATGTTGGACATGCATCAACTTGTAACAGCGTAGGTCAAACTACAGGGTTTTTCCTGAGCTATGTTTTGTTCATGGCTTTAGAGTCTTCCACTTTTTGTAATCAGTATTTAAGAAGCATTCCTCAAGACGAAGGTATGTATGATTTTGTAACAATTTTCCCTTGTTTTTCCAAGACGTATTAGGTGGGGAAAGATTCCCATCATACGTGTATGCAAATAGAATACTATACTTTATCCAGGACTATAAAAAAACAATGTAATTTTATTAATTATTATATTCACATGAAATCTTATGTTAAATAATGTAGTAAGTAATTAGATTTAAATTTACTTTAGCATTCAAAACTGTGATGTTTAAATCACAACTTTTTGACACCTCAAATTAAAAATAACTAGGGAAGTGATCTGACGTTTCACAGACAGTTATGTTTTTATCTTGTAGATACAAAATCATATTGCTAAGTTGAATGTTTTATTAGATTTTGTATAATAATCTGAGGCAAATAAAATAAGTAATCTGTTAATTGAACCGTTTTCTTCGTACTCACTCGAGGACAAAATTCAAATCTGAGGATTTGGAAAGACTTCTCAATTTAGAATTAGCAAAAACGCAGACGGCCTCCACTTCTTGTTCGTTATGCTTCAACAGACATACAAAAGAAGTTTAATTGGAATATGTATTTAAAAAATCTGATGTGTCCAACACATGACTTTCCTATCTAGTTATTATAGGCTTTTTTCTGGTTATTTTGTACAACCTATTGCAGCACCTCTATAAATGTTTAGAGGATAAACTAAATATACAGGGAGTAACAGTTTATATAAACATATGTCAAAAAAAACGTTTCTTTTTCGAGAAACAGGGTGTTAAAAGTGGGGTCCTGATGACACACTTTTGTAAATATTTTCTAAACGTTTAATGATAACTAAGTAAAATTTGGTACAAATGCTTACCTTTTTACGCTCTATTTAATGGACTAAACCCCAGTTTTTAATCATCTTCACAGCTGGGTAAATTAGAGGGTGCTTAGGGTAAAATTGCCCTAAGTTTTTTTTGTTGACAGTTTTTAACATTTTTGACTATACAATTTGGAAAACCAATGTTTTCTTTATATTAAAAAAAAATACATTATTGTCCAAACAGGTTAAACCCCAATTAGAGGACACATACAATAAAAAATATATGTATACATATCTAATTTAAAGAAAATAACAAAATTCTTAAATTAATAGCTTTGTGCTTCACATATTTAAACTGACACTATAAAAAACAAAAGAATGAATGAAACAATACCTATTTATAAATGTTGTCTGAGTAAGTACTCATTGAGTTTACGTTTAATGCTTGTAAGAGAGTCAAAGTTTATGTCCAAATTTAATTCAGCTGCATATCTATTAAAATTGTTGCAAATGGTATGGATAGGTGAATTTGTCAAAATATTTGTTCGAGGTGTGGGCAAGTAAAATACCGTTTTATATCTTGTATTGAAATGCGGTACACTAAATTTAATTTGAGATAGCAGGTCTGGACAGTCCAATAAATTATTAACTAGTTTATATATAAAAGTTGTGCCCTGCAGTATTCTTCTGTCTTCTAGAGACATTAAGGATAATTTACCCAATAGAACAGCATTGTCAATTCCCCTTTCTGGATAAATCCCATCAATTTTAAATGCAACGTATTTCATAAATCTGCGATGGATAAATTCAATAAGTGACTTATGGGATATATACATGGGTGACCATATCAGTGCCGCATATTCAAGACTTGATCTTACAAATGAGTTGAATAATACATTTAGACAGTCTATATTTCTGAAATCCTTACAACTTCTCAAAATAAGCCCAAGCATTCTCTTAACTGTGGATGTAATGTTAAATAAATGAGGTAAAAAACTTAACTTCTTATCAAATTCAACTCCCAAATCCTTTATTGTCTCCACTTCCTCAAGTGGTTTATTCTGTATTGAGTAGTCAAACTGGATATTATTCAAGTGTGTTTGAAAATCTCATGAACTTGCATTTTTGATTGTTAAGAGGCAATTTATTAGTAATACACCAATTATTTAATTTATTTAAATCATTTTGTAAGTCTATACAATAGTCTTGTAAATTTATGATATGAATAAACTTGAAATCATCGGCAAATATTAAACATTCCTTCTTAAACTCTGGCTATGCCATTAATAAAAATTGAAAATAATAATGGAGCCAGATTACTTCCTTGAGGCGTTCCACTGGTAGCAACAACAAAAGTTTGATTTGTGACCCTTATATTCAACATAAAGTGAGCAAGCAGTTAAATATGACTTAAATAAGTCGAGGATATGGGAATCGAAACCAAGATTATATAATTTCTCTAATGATTGCATTGATTTAAGAAAATTTTATAGTTAATTAAGTAGTACATTTATGGTGAAAATAGAACATAACAGTACTTATAAACAAGTAAACTTGCAAGACAGTTCATTGTTAAAACCTAATAAAAAAGGCATCCTGAAGGGGCAGCAACCTTCCCACCTAAACCTTCTGAAAATTTTAAAACGGTTTAAAATTCCAAATTTTATTATGACTCTACTAAAATTAGATCCCCATCAAAACAAAAACAAATTAATTTTGTATATTTCATCCAATATCTCCATTATGGTCCATTTTAAGGGCATCATGTATATAACAGAAATTATCGAAAATGCTGTCACGAAAAACTTTTAACTGAATAATTTTCTTTTCCAATCATAAATAACAGAAATATCAAAAAGTACAAAAACGACTTTTTATAAAGGACCCCTTAGTTGCTCCATGCCCAAAATCTAATCATCTCTTCATGGTCTCCTGGAATCCTTATGTTCCTAATCTCATCGAAATCGGCAGGATAGTTTGGGCTATAATGTGATAACAAAAAATGTCATAATATGCATAAGTACATACAGACATTTTTAAAAAATACATTTTCTCTACTACCGTGTTTAGAGTACTTATTTTACAAAATGTAATTTTATAATGCTATCTTAAACAGTATTCGATTTTCAATAAATGCTTATTAAATAATTTACTAATAAATTTGAATAAGTTATGATTAAGATACCAGTATGTCGGGATCCCAAATAACATTCTAAAGCTTCACCAATCAGGTCTTACCGTCAATTTCTGATTTCCTTGCTTCCTGATCCAGCTTTCTCTTCCTGGGCGTGCACGTATAGGATCTGGTTGGGTATATTGGACTGTCTTGAGGGCTGGTATTTTAATGTTCCGGTAGATATTTGTGGGTTAGTACCGAATTAATAAAACATTTGTGTGTAATCCACAGTGATCTTTGCCCACTGAAATAATACAGCACCTTCTTGGCGAACTATAATTTAATGAGAATAATGAACATAAATGTGAAATATTATGTTTCATACTGGATGATAATAATTAATTTTAATTTAAATAAGTGAAGACTTTAAACAAAAATCCTTTATTGTCCACAACATAAATTAAATAAATTTAAATGTCTTGGGGGATCCTGTATCCATTTGTTCATATCCACCTTCTTGGAATTTTTTTATTGAACTGGACCCTACTTAACAATAATCCATAAACTACACTTCATTGTCATGACTTATTAAAAAATGGGGATTTCAAAAAACAAATAAAAATTACAGGTCTGAATTAAAAAAAAAGTTGAGGGATGCCCATAAAAATTAACAAAATGTGTTCAATTACATTTTTGCAACTTTGTATGGTATAAATAAGGAATAAACTTTTTTTTTAGGTATGCTTACGTTATCTGGGTTTCTCTACTTCTGGGGCTTGGTATTTTTAGTCACCACTACAATTGTGGGTCTGTTAAAAAAAGAAGATGAGCCACGATCTGCTGAAACTACTAAACCTGATAGGGATATAAAACAAGCATACATTTCTCTAAAATATATATTATCGTTGAAACCAGTTCAAACTTTAGTCGTAATACTACTGACATGTAAGGTGAGCCAAACATTCAAATTTCCATGAAATTGGTTTTACAGATAGATGTTACTTGTAAAGACCTGACGAAATATAAAATTATATTTTGTCTAACTTATTAAATCATTTATGCAACTTTTAAAATTTTTAAAATATTACATTGGAAATAAATCACATTTACCTTTTAGATTGGATTTTCGTCTACAGATAGCGTGATGGCTTTAAAGTTAGTTGAAGCAGGTATCCCAAAAGAAAGATTGGGACTTATGGCGATTCCTTTAATTCCTTTACAATTAGTTATGCCTCTGGTTATAGCCAAATACACTACAGGTAAGTGATTCAATATCCATGATAAGTGTTTTTAAAACATTGTTTTTGGGATTAGGAATACCTATATAACTATGTTTTGTTAAAAATGTAGTCATGTTTTTAACGACGGTCTTTAAATAATTCACATATTTTCGTATTTTTTTTTAATTAATACTTTAATGGATCTCATAAAAACATTAAATTAAACAAATAGTAAAACTAATATATTATGTCTTCATTTTCAACTGAATAGAGTTTTATTTAGTACTTTAGTAACACCTTGTGTAAGATTACCTACTAAAAAAATGTTTAAAATAAAAGTTTTTGTTAAAAATGGGATGTATTTATATAAATTCATTGAAAATTCTCAAATTATTTTTTTAAATTACCTCTACAAAACCCTCAAAGTGAATATTAATTTAGTGATTTAGATATTATTAATGGGTGTATTAGTCCTAGAAATAGTATAGAAGACTAATATAATTATAACATTTAAGCAGAAATTGAAACCTATTGTGCATAAAAATGCGTTTTTGCACAGAATATCGCAGAATAGTGTATCTATGGGCAGAGATAAGGGATATAAAGATAGGAAACGAGCATAAGAAGCCAATGCTTAACAACGACCAGCTTTAACGCAGTTAACATCTGACCCACTATGTGGCGCTTTCATCGATATCAAACAACGCAGCGGGAAATTTAAAAACCTAATAATAATTGTTGTATAAATATCGACTGCACTCTCATGTTCTTGTAAATAAATTTAAACAATGTAATTACGATAAATTATTTATTAAAAATAATACTACACTTACAGTTTATTATCGATTAATTATTTAAATCTATTCATGACAAATATTTTTTAATTTTTGATCATTATTTGTAACATTTTTGTATATTTTTCCTTACGAATGGCCAATGGTATCTTATTTAAAAATCTGATGTGTCCAACACATGACTTTCCTATCTAGTTATTATAACATAAAAAGTAACTTTTATTTGAAGAATTTTCTTGTCCAAACGTAAATAACAGATATATTCCATAAAATATAAAAATGACCACCTATAAAGTACCCCCCCCCCCCCAGATGTTCCGATTCTGCCCAAAATCTAATCAGTTCATTGGACGCCGGAAAAAAGCTTAAGTTTCAAATTTGGGCTTTTTCTTTGTGTCGGTTCATGAGTTATGGTGGATACAGACACACACACACACAGACATCATCGCGAAAATAGTCAAAACGGATTCAGGGGACCTCAAAACGTGAAAAACCCGTTGAAAACTCGAGGTCGAAAAAATCATGATTCCTATACTTTCCTTATATCTGTATACAGATAGGAAAGTAAAAATGAGTGCAAACTCAATAATGGGAATTCAGATATTTTTCTTCCTGTATCAAATCTTCTTTCTAACGTTTTGAAGCCATTTTCTTGATCTAAAACAATAAATAATACATAGATACCTACTTTGTGAAAAAAGTTGGTTACTATTTGTGTTAATTACATAACTAGATCTTACTTTGATCAATTAAAGAAAGCCACATTGGGGTTGTTAAATTTATTCATGTGGCATGTGTGATAAAAATGCAATACATTCTCCGATTTATTGTATTATTATAAAATATAATTATTGTCCTCAAATTTCACACAAAAACAGCCACAACCAGTTCGCTTAGTTCATCTAGAGCAGGCCTGCACAACTCAGATTTTCAAAGGGCCAGATTTGAAAAACCGTAACTGTACGAGGGCCGCCAAGAGAGGCCTGAGCCTAAAAGAGTCGGTTCAGATTTCTAAAAAAAAAGTTGGCAGCCTAAATACAAGTTTGTTGCTGAAAAATTTATAATTTGACGTAGGCGGGCTAAACTGGTCAACGGCCGGTGGCCGCCAAAACGACACTTTTGTGCACTCATGATCTAGAGGATAACACAATCATGAACTCAAAATTTAAATTCAGGATTCTTCGATATACATAAAACTGACAATTTTATTTAAGAACTGTCCACTGCTGTCCACGTCTACTGTCTGTCTCAGTGTTGCCAACCGTACGATTTAAATCGTATTTATACGATTTTTTAACTCTTTGTACGATGTACGATTACATCAGGGAAGTCGTACGTAAAAATACGATCTTCACTTTTTTAGAAGGTTTATTTAAAAATCTGCAACAACTTCAGAACATAAAACAATAAAGATCATAAACTACTTGCAAAGATTAATAGGCCGTTCGTAATTTCTGAAGTCAGTCATTTCGTTCTCACTTATCGTCATTTTGAAAATGGCGATTTTGTACCAACACGGACAATCACGGTATAAGAAAAGCTTGCATGCAAAATTTCAATCACTTTCAAGTGATAGTCATTGATTACTTTAAATGTGTTAATTTAACGTTTCATGTATTTTTTTTAGTTTTTTTTTTTTAGTTGTAAAATTTTTTATAAGTAGATAAATAAATTAAATTATCATGCCAAAGTTTTTTTATTATTTTTTCATTCCATATAAGTTATATTATGCTCTATATGTACCTATTGTACGATTTTTTTACGAAATACCATTTTTCTACTCTACTTGTACGATCTTTCAAAAAAATATTTGGCAACACTGATCTATCTATAAACGATGTATATCTTTAGTTAACATCTGAGACGCATAGATGACGCCATCGTTGCGTTTCCTATCTTTATGTCCCTAATCTCTGTCTATGGGCATAGGCAGTGTGAATGACTTAGCGTTGCCAAGTATATTAAACATACGTAACATAAAAGAATTTAAAATTAAAAATTATATGATTTAATCTTATAAACATTTAAATAATCAACCAAATATCAACTAATATTATTTGTTTAATTACATTTACAAAAATATATTAATGAAATAAGGTATCAATGTTCAGCAAGCGATAACATATAGATTCAATATTGATCTGGTATTACAACTTAAATCGAGAGTTCCCAGGCTTTATATGCCCTTACAGGACCGTTTCCTATTTGTGATATGTTGGCTTGAATTTGTGGTTTATTATTTAATTACACAGTAAAAGTGACATTTTTTAATATTTTTGAAGTAAAACTTCTTAGGTTGCGGTTCAATATTTGACGAGTAGGCAGCGGTCTTATATTTAGCGAGAATGAGGTGTGAAATTTGAAGGACATGTGAGGAGTAACTCATGTAACCATGGTAACGTATAACGAAATTGAAAGAACATTGACCTTGAGCTTATATTCGATTTTTGTATTTGAAAGTTACAAGGCGGAGCGGATCAGAGTGGCGTGGAGGCGGAAGGGAGCAAAATTAGTAGAGTGGAGTAAAGTGAAGTAGAGTAGATTGGAGCAGAGTGGAGTAAAGTACAGCAGAGTAGAGTGAAGTGGATTAGAGTGAACAGCCTATATTGGATTTATTTTGATTACATACAGTAGTGTTATGGCAAAACATTTTTGAGATTTTACAGGAGAAACAAAACCAGTTTTAATGATTGTGAATGTAATTTTTTTATAATACAAAGGTGCAATAAAGATACTTTCTTCATTAACAAAATAAACTATATTTGTAATCATTTAATGTGAAATAATACATTTTCTAAAAAATGACAGGTAGCATGTTTTGTCATAACAATCCTCCTATATAAAAATGTCCTTATAACTAAGCTATCTACCAAATTAATGATTTACAAGTTTATTTTAATTATCTATATAATGGTTTTTAATGTGTTGATGTGAATTATTACCGTCCACTAAAAACTCTAAGCCTTTGAATTAAATTGATCGAACACGATCCATAAATTGGTTTTAGACTATACAGGATGTTTTTAGTAAGTAGTGACTAACTTTTATATGGAACCGAAAGACCCTGTTAAGATGACTCAAAATTTAAATAAAATATGTTACTTCATCTTGAGAGATGCAGATTTCACATTTGAATAATTTATATTGAAAATGGTAACAAGAAAGGTTTTCTGTTTAATTAATTGTGAGTAACGACATATAGTCTGCTGACAAATTGTAAAAAATGAACATACTTTTGTTAAGGTGGACGAAACGCAACTGCCTTCTATATTGCAATCCCCTGATTAAATTTACTTGTAGCAAATATCAACCGAAACCATGTCAGATGTAAAATCTCTTCACTGTAGCAATTCATTTTTTTATAGAGAATTGCCTCTAAAAGTGTATGACGACTGCTAACCTAATAATCGTGTGTGTTTACTTATTTGTTCGATCAATATAAAACTTGAGCCTGTCCTGTCCAACCGGCACCTTCATGCGCATGAGTTCCAACACACTATTATTTGCTCCTTATGGTTTCACTTTTAATGTATGGAATTGTCTTTCTATACTATTTCTATGGTATCACAGTATCTTGCAGAATATTTTTATGATTTTTTAATAGGATTATATAAACAGATAATAAAAAAGTAACGTGACGTCCTTAACCCCCATGTTACCGAAATGCATATTTAGTTAATTATTTTTTAACTTAATTAGCCAATTCTTATATAGAAGTAAAAAACAACTTTTGTAAAAAGCAATTTTTCGTTTAAATTTTTCCTACCTTCATTATTTTATTATTAAAACAAGACATCCTTAGAGTTTTTTGTTTTATTAAATTTTCGTTTAACAAAAATATTTACATGTCAGTAAGGACATATACAATTAGTAGTAGTTGTAGAGCGTTTAAGTCTTGTTTTCTTTTTTTTAACTGGTTTACTTTTAACAAAAGATCTACAAGCACAGCATTTGTAATATTTAAACTGGTGCCACACCTCGTAAATATTTTTATTTTCAATACCACTACCTTGTGTTCGCATGTCAATAATATTTAAATATGTTTTTGGAATTAGTTTATATACAATATATGGTGGAAAAATTCTTCCATCTAAGCGAAAAACCAACTTAAATCGATTTCGTTCAAATAGTTGAGCATGGATTCCATTCACCAAAGCCAAAACTTTCACTGGATTCTTCTTTTCCAATTCTTTTATATATTTCTTTATTCTTTTAAATAAACCTCTATCACTGACTCTTTGCAAAAAGTGTTTTATTATAACTGCTGCTGTGCCTTCACTTAAGTTCCTCTTGCTTACTCTCGCTTCTTCAAATTGGGTATCTGAGGTGTAAAAACTGCATATTGAATTAATTTTTTTAGCTAGGTTTTTGCAACCAGAAGTAACTTTGTCTAACTTGAAATTTTCTTCGTCATCGTAAGGTTTTAAGTACCATTGATGGTCTTCTTCTAATACGCGAAATACACTAATTTGAAATAAATCTGACATTTGTTCAAAAATACACAATTTATCATTCAAAACGCCATCTAATTTTGGTTTTCATAATTATCTGACCTCTGAACACACTGAGAAACATTTTTTGATACCTACACTAAGAAATGTGTAGTATACGCAAATTCACCTATAGGTTTATTAGGCATAGATAAATAAGTAACTTTATTTATCAAAGATAATATACAATAATTCAAAATAAACCAACAATTCAATATAAACATGAACTTCATAATTAATTAAAAATCAAAATAAATTTAAAACTTAACATAACATAATTGTCCCTCATACATATAATAAAAAAATAGAAATAAGAAAAGAATAAAAGAAACAGTGTTGTAGGTATTTAACATAACAGATTGTTTAAAAGTATAACAAGTAAAAGAAAACAGAAAAAACAATTTTCAACTATATAATTCATAATTTTTTTTTAACAAATAATAAGTTATTTCTTAAATTGACTAGGATTCTGAACATTTTTAAATTTTGAGGCAGATGATTGAATTGATCGATCCCTTTATGAAATAAGCTTTTCATAGAACTACTTTTATTAGTTTTGTTTGTATATAAAATTTGATAGAGTTTACTGCTCTTGTGTTTCTTTGATGTATTTCTGTGACCGGGATTAGTTGACAGTTAAAATATTCAGGCAACAAATTGTTTGTTATTTTAAATATAAAAACCATTGTTTGTACATATAGCAGTTTTTCAGGCATCTAACATAAACTAAATACTGGTATATTTGTTATAACCTAGTATCACTCGCATCGCTTTGTTTTGTAGGACCTGTAGTCTATCAAAATTGGAACATCCTGTATATATTAAAGAACAGCAATAGTAAAAGTGGGGTAGAATAAGTGTATTATATACAGTCAATTTGGTTGAAATTGATAGATACAGTGACACTCTTCATAAAATCCTTCTTTTTTTTCTACTTTCTACAGATATAGGTACTCAATGTGTTTATTAAATTTTAGTTCTCTATCCAACATAACTCCTAAATATTTTATTTCTTGGACCATTTCTACTGTTTCGTTATTTATTTTAATGTCTAAATTTAAATTCAAAAATCTATTGTATAGAAAGTTGTTACCAATGAACATATATTTTGATTTCATCTCATTAACTTTTCATTTATTTTGTTTGAATTTAGATATTAATAATCCCAATTCAGGGTTGACGGTCTCAGCAACTTCGGCAAAATCATCCCCATAATAATAGATAAACGTGTCATCTACAAAATGTTGTATTTTACATTTTTAAAGAACCTGTCCCAAGTCATTTATATAAAGTATGGATAGTAAGGGTCCAAGCACGCTTCCCAGCGGCATCCCAAAAGTATTTAATTTTGGATTTAATACCTCATTATTAATTTTAGTTACTTGATATCTATTTAATAAGTAATTATACAACCAATTATAGACAGTTTCTCTAAATCCATATTTTTTAATTTTTAAAGTAAAATGTTCAAATAAAAACTGCGCAGATACCAACTCCTGGTTTATCAAGAATATTTTTCATATCTGAAACAACTAATTGTAAAGCAGACTCACAAGAATGTGCTTTACTAAAGCCCGATTGATAACTGCATAGTATTTTATTTAGTTATAAAATCCATGATTTGATCATACACAACTACTTCTAAAAGTTTTTCACAAAATGGAAGCATATTTATGGGTCGTAACTGATCTGCCTTGTTTGTATTGGAATTATTGTTGATGTGTTAAATCTCTGTGGAACAATAACCTTATATAAACTAGTATTTATTAAATTAAGTAATGGATAACCAAGTACATGAAATAGATTCTTAATGATATCAGAACCTATCTCATATGTACTGGACTTCTTTGTTTTAATTACTTCATATAAATTGCTTAGGGTAACTGTTCTAAACTTCGTCATTGATGATTCGTTGAAGGGAACTGTTTCCAAGCAAGCTTTAGTCATCACTTATATCAATAGTTAACACAATATTCTGAATGCTACCCACGTAATATTGATTTAAAACATCAGCAAAATTCTAATTATATTCTGTTCCTTCACACACCAAACTATTAATTTAGTTTATCGAATTACGGTTGGCTTCCATCAAGCTCCGACCACATTAATTTCTTTTTAGTTTATACTTCCTCCAATCATCTGCATCATTTGTAAATGTAAATGTTTTGTAAGCTATATTTTTATCTTTAACGGCTTTTTTGCATTTATTATTAAACCACTTATTATTTACATTATATACTTGAATATATTTTGTAGGAGTTATAACATTAATTACTGATAATACATTATCTAGAAAAATATCTTCTAGAACATCAACATCAACTACAGAGTATCCCCAATCCCCTTCAATCAAGATGTTGACCATTTTATCATAATTTGTATTCATACGAATATTTTTAGTTTCTATATTAATATTTAAATTTTGTATTTTGACTTGTATAATGAAATGGTTTGTTATTGGGTCCTATGATTGAACGTTTACGTTATCCGTAACGTACATGTTAGGCCGAGTTTTAACAGCAACGTGCCAAATTCGTATGATGTAAAGTTTTTCATAACACGTTACTGTTATTTTCCACCTGTTATGTTCTAATTTAACGCATCGCCTCAACAGCCTCGAATAACATGCCGTTAAGTGTCCAACGTCTATGTTACCACTTTATTTGTTTATTATTTAATTATCTAATACCTATATTGCTAATTATCTGAATTCTTAGTATATTTGAATTTGTTTTTAAATTATATGATTTGTAAATACTAGCCAAAGGTTTGATTTTTTTTTATCTAATATATTTGTTTTCCCCGTGAGAATAATTTTGTTTTTTCTAACAAAATTATGTAGTTCCTCATACTATTACACAGTTGTTTTAGCTAATCTTTTCGCCATAAAAAATTAAATAAAACTGAAAAATGAACTACAAAAAATTCTAACCTAATTGTTGTTTTTTTTTCATTCAGAAAAACATGAAAAACCTCATTTTAGTCATTTTTAGAAATGAAGTGAAGTTAGGTACATTTTGTGCGCACGCGCAATAGCGCAAATAAATACTTTCTTCCATTCATAACAGCCAGCTCAACATCTTCTGTTATCGACTACTTCAATCATACGGATATGACACCTACTGTTATTTCATACGTTATCTGTTCCCTGTTAGCATAACATAACAGATTCGTGTTAAACTTAACGTAAACGTTCAATCATAGGACCCAATATGTAATTTTTTTCCACACAAGCAGTTAAAGTGAAATCATTAGTTAACACGAGGTCAATTGTTGACTTAGCATCCTTATATACTCTAGTAAATTCAGTAATTAGTTGTTTTATCCCATTATTTTCAATATATTCGTGGAGTTTTCTTTTTTCTTGACAATTTTTATCAAAATGAATATTGAAATCTCCTGTTATAATCACACTAAAACTGCTATGTGTTTCTACATATTCATCTATTCATTCTTAAAAGGATTTAAAGAATAGGGTAATGTTAGCATTGGGGGACCTATAAACACTTGCTACACCGTATCTAGTACCTTTCACTCTAACTTCTATACATAACAACCAAAGATTTATATCAATGATAAAGTTTTTATATTTGACACTTTTGGTAAATATTAGAACACCTCCAGTGTGTCGACTACTTCAGTGCTCCGCAACCTTTCCTCATCTGAGGCACACCAAACTGCTCCCTAGAATTTCGTGGCACACCAAAATCTAAAATATATTTATAGCAGTGGCGTAGCTAGGTCGGGGGTCAGTTCACTCCATGTATACTAATTATTTATGGATGTCCAAACTACCTTAGTTTTTTTTATTGTTTTAAAATGTGAAGAAGCCCCTTTCAGATTTGGGGCATCAAAATTTTCACTCAGGACATAATACATATTTTTTTTTATTTTTTTTTATTATTCAGATAGAATGAAAAATACAAATAGGTACATACATGAGAACTATACTAAATACTAGGTAGGACAGGTAGGTATACTAAATTTACTTCTGTTGACACGTCAATAGTAATAAATATTTTGACATGATGATGACTGATTAATGTGATACCTGCGCTTGCTTCGTTGAACACAAAAGTTTTATATTCGGCTCAATTTTAGACAGCGCAACTCTCATTTCTTGGTCAAGATCTTTTAAGCATGACCGTTTATCATTTTTAATTAATACAAGCGTTGAAAAACTTTGCTCACATAAATATGTTGTGGAAAACGGAAGTAGTGTGAAGATGGCCTTGTCGGTGATGCGTGGATATTCTGTCTTGATGGAAATCCAGAAAACATCTAACGGAACTTCGTCGAATTTAAGTTTTAGGGTCATATCATTACTTAATTCTGTGAACTCCTCTCGAGTTTGCAATGGCAGTGCTTCCGTGGAACTTATTGCATTGGTTGCGAAAGGATTTCGAATCCAATTGTATTGTTCCGTGTTGATAGAATGGAAATAGTATTCAAATTTTTGTTGAAGCATACTTAAATGTTGTTGGGCCAAATCCACAATCAACTGCTTGTTTTCGATCGTACTGTGGTTGGTCCTGTGATACATTTCTAGACATCCTTTTTGCAACTGTTCCTGCCAAAGTTCAAGTTTCTTTTTGAACCCTTGTAATTTATCGGAGCACGTCAATATATTTTCATTCCGTCCTTGCATTTTTTTATTAAGTTCATTCAGATGTTCGAATATATCCGCCATGTATGCAAGTTTGGCTATCCAGTATTCATCATGAAGGTGCTGGCATAGATCGTACATATCTTGACTTGAAAGAAACTCACGCACTTCGTAGCGAAGTTCAAACAGTCGAGCTAAAACTTTTCCCCGGGATAACCAACGAACTTCTGTATAAAACAGTAAGGATTCATGTTCGCTTCCCATTTCTTCACAGAGTATTCCAAAGATTCGCGAATTTAAGGCTCTCGATTTAATTATGTTTATGATCTTAATACATTCATTCATTGTGATCGAAAGCTGTTCGGGCAAATTTTTGACCATCAATGCTTCTCGATGTATGCAGCAATGTGTAATTTGTATTGACGGATTTTTTTGTTTTACACAAGATACAAAACCTTTCTTACTGCCCATCATTGCAGCAGCACCATCTGTACAAATAGCAACGCAATTGGTCCACTGAATATTATGTATTTTAAAAAAATTATCAGTTACTTGGAAAATTTGTTCACCGGTAGTTCTCTCTGGAACCTCCTTACAAAATAAATAATGTTCTTTAATAGAGTCCTCGTCAACGAAACGTACAATAGCCATCAGTTGTGCTTTATTTTTAATATCGGTTGATTCGTCGATTTGAAGCGCAAAAATTCCAGCCGAAATGATTTTTTTAATTAGTGTTCCCAAAATATCACTTGGCATATCTTGGATACGTCTTTTAACAGTATCGGCCGACAAAGAAACTTTACTCACGTCCTTAACTTCGTTTGGCCCAAGCATAAGTCTAACAATTTCCATGCATGCTGGTTTAATAAGCGTTTCACCGATAGTGTGCGGTTTTTTTTGTTGTGCAATTAATTTTGCAACAAGGTAGCTTGCTTCTAATGCCTTTTCAGAAACCGTAACCGCCGATTTCATAAACTGCTTTTGTTTCTTATTTTGATCCAAGCGCCGTTGGAAAAATTGAATGTCTTTTTTGACGCAACTGGGATGATTTGTGATCAAATGACGGTTTAGTTTGCTGGGTACCATTGCTTCATTTGACAACTGTTCACCGCAAATGACGCATTCAGGCTTTGGAGCCGCTTCGTCGCCACACCAAGTGAAACCATATCGAAGGTAGTCTTGATTGTACTTCCTTTTCAGCACCTTTTTTGCTCTTTTTGCAGCACTTATGCTGGAGCTTGTGCTAGGTTCTTCGTCATCTGCTCGTGATTTCAGCAAAAATTTATCCATATTTGAAGCACTATAGTTATTTATAAAAGTAGATACTGCAACAAAACTTAGTCCAGTTCACTTATTTATAAGGCACAAGAATTTATTTATATAGCAATTCACTATTTATTTCACTCTACGATTTATTTGTTTGCCCGCGTATTTATCTGATTCACTTGACTATTCGACTCTCTCTGAGTCTCTGAGCGACGACAGGCGCGCTTATATAGGCAGTGGCGATGTTCAGGAAAACATCGAGTCGCGCCTCGAACGGCACGGATCTTTCTAGTTTAGTCGCCTTCGAGAATCAAGCCGCCGCGCCGATAGACGTATAGACGTTTACCATCGGCGCTGTTGTCAGATTGCTTTATTTTTCGCGGGTCTCGCTACAATACGAATCTGATTCGTATTGTCTGCAAGAGCGGCACACCTCAAGTCGGCTTACGGCACACCAGTGTGCCGCGGCACACCGGTTGCGGAGCACTGGACTACTTGAATCACATCGGGCTAAGTTATACCCATTAATCCATAATTCAGTATCCTTGAACTCACTAGTTATACACGTTTCAGTTAAACATATAATTAATGGTTGATATTTTTCTGTATATATTGTTACTTCATCTTTGCGTATAAAGTAGCTTTCTGCATTCATGCAGGTTATAAATAAATTATGTTTGATAATATTTGAGCTTTTCTTTGGTTGTTATTGATAATTAACTCTTTGACTTTAGAAATTTGTTTTATATAACTTAAACATTTATTATCAAAAACGTGGTGATCAACATTAATGTTTTTTATTTTCAAGACATCTGTGGCAAATTTACAATTTGTGCATTCGTACTTACTGGCTTTACAGTCTTCTAGATTGTGATTTTTATTGCACATAGGACACACTGCTTGAGATTCACATTTTTCCGCATAGGCAGATGTTTCTCGATTTTTCCTGTAGGAATTTTGTCAGGTTGTAAAAATGTTTTCCTAAGCAGATGCAGGAAATGAATTAGCATACTCATAGGATAGGGAATTTAATAATCCTACAAGATTTTGAAATAGCGTTTGGGCAAAGCGGCGTGTTTTGTGGTGTCAAATGTTGGAGATCTTTAAATTTTGTTTATTTAGTAAAATTTTCTAATTTCATTTTTAGCAAAGTAGGTATCATGTAGTCTTTATAAATAAATTTGGGGGTTTTGTTGAAAATAACCGAAAAATATTCTTAATATTTTATTAAATAACTAGCCGCAATATTTATTACAAGACCTATTTGGTATAACTATTTATTTTTTTAAATACAATCAAAATTAGCTCAAAGCCATGCATCACATTAATATGGGCAACAACTACTCCTTTGACTAATACGTCACCCAGTTTTGAATTACGTCAAAAGAAAAAAACTGATAAAAAATATTTTCAACACTCTACCTACCTTTGATTTTGCCCACTAAGGACCTTGGTCCTTATTAGGACTCTTCAGCAAGAAATAGAAAATTTCGACTCCAGTCAGATGGCAATACGAAATTCATTCGAACACATTAACAGCAGATTGAACATGTGTGAGAGTAAATTTCGTATTGCCATCAGACTCGATCAGGGACTGGAGTCGAGATTTTCTATTTCTTACTGAAGACTCTTAATAAGGACGAAACCGGTCCAAGATTTACTTTCCCGTGCAAAATCAAAGGTAGAGTGTTGAAAATATTTTCTATCTCTGCTTTTTTTCTTTTGACGTAATTCAATACTTGGTTACCAAAGGAGTAGTTATTGTCAAACGAGAAAAGGTTGCCCATATTATTGTGACGCATGGCTTTGTTATTTTGATTGTATTTTACATCTTGGTCACATTTGAGTTTGGAATTATTTAATTTTTTTATTTATTTTTTGACCAGTAATCGTAACTGACAAACTAACCAGAACCTAGCCATTCAATTTTTATTGCCATGTAACAGATTGTCAAATGTTAAACAATAGTATTTAAATGAAATTAATTTATCCCAATGAAATCTTGACATGCTGAAATTGAAACTCCTACAATAAATTGGACTCCTATTCTGCAGAACGCAGACAACTAAAACTGTTGGAATATTATCATAGGAATTCAAATCCCTACAACAAGTTGTAAGCTTTAATGTAATGGGGAGACACGTGAACATATGCAGGTTATGCACATATGTTGCCAAAAATTACTTAATTTTCTAAGGAATACGAAATAATATTTGCTCTAGTATTTTTCATCCATTTGTCTCAATACATTTAAATACAAAAACACATTGACTGCAAAAAATTCAAGTAAATAAAAAAATGGAATATTTCCAAATATACTTTATTGAATTTTAGGAGTTGTATTTATATTCTACAATTTTCAGTTGTTTATATTTTTTAGGACCAAAACCGCTTGACATATTTTTAAAAGCGATACCTTATAGGCTAGCTTTTGGATTTGTTGCAGCGTTCTTAGTTTGGATCACACCAACTTTTGTTCCTGATGCATCACAGGGCTTACCAATTCTATACGTAGCTTTTCTATTGATTTGCTATGCACTTCATCAGGTATTTTTTAATTATTTATTTTTTATGTTGTAGCGCCGATTATATTTAATGTCCGTATTATATTGCCTACAAATAACACTGATAGTAATTCGTTTAAAAAACAGTAATTTTTATCATAATTAAAAATGTACATGGCGTAAAAACCGTTGTCATAAATCATTTATATTTCATTATTAGGAGTAAATTATTAAACTTTGATAATTCGTATTTTCATATATGTTTTTTTTAATAAAATATATGGAGTGATCCACAAAAAATGTTTATAAAATAGGTCATGGAAAAAATAAAATATGTTGGAACGTGCAATTCTTTTTTTTTTATTATTATTTAATCCAGAAGTGTTCATATTTGCCAGGGACGTGACTCATATCTCTGTTTTTCTTAGTCATGGCTTATTTTAGAAACATTTTTCTGTGGAACACTCATTATGTATGTATGTATGTATGTTTTTAAGTTATTTACTCAAATCCAATGTAGGGTATTTTGATTATTGAATAGGATCTTTTCGTGTCACAGATATAAAATAACATATACAGTAGATCCAGCAGTTTTTTACATGTACATTATACAAATGAAGAGTCAAGAAATTTTATTCAAAACAATGTATGTCTTGGAATTGAAAACGACTTAACTACTGCTGCGACTAACATTTAAATAGTATATTGGTACTTAGATAACTAGTTTTCAATTTTCAAATAAGGAAATATCAAATTTATAAAATAAAACGAAACAGAGCGATTATCAGGAAAAGCGGCAATATTTTAAGGGGGGACCTCTTTCTATAATATCCTCAAACTGTCATACGTCACTCCAACTAATACAATTTAAATTAGGGAAAGTATCAAGTATGACATAAGATAGGAAAGATAATTTTATGAAGAATTCAGCTATATTCATTACGTTACATTTGATTTTAACGTCCTCTAGCGGGATAAAAAACTTACATATTGTAAAGTCACTTCATTTGAAAGCTACTTTTATTAATAATTGATAGATCAAACGAACTTACCTGAAGTGAAGTTCGATCTCAATTATATGAAACGCCTTGTTCGAGATTATCGCAGGTAGTACCCTCCTTTTCCCGCTCTGTGGCCACGTATTTTAAAATCTAAATACCCTCAAAAGTATTTAGAAAGTTCCAAAATAACTGGTTATCGCAGTCCTTCCCACCTCTGCTCCCGTCCTGTGGTAGACAGATACACTCTTACGTTTCTTTTAAAGCGGTAATTGTGTTTGAATCTTGTAAAGATGATCTTGGGTATAGGTGTGTGGGTGGGTTCGATCATCTTGAACAAGGCGTTTCATATAATTGAGATCGAACTTCACTTCAGGTAAGTTCGTTTGCTCTATCAATTATATTCCACGCCTTGTTCTTAATGATCATAGCATAGGTAGATGTTTAAAGCAAAGATTAAACACAATTACCGAGAACATTTATTCTAAACCCAACAATTGAATCATTATTCGAACTGTTTGGGTATACGCTAAGTAGGTACCTACTCTACTAGCATTATTTTATTGAAATTTAAGTACGATATAACTTATAACTCAAAATAGATACAACGAACATTACGAAATGGAAATTGCAAAGGCAAAATTATGTTTATCGTGATTTATAACATTTATAAAAAGTCTACCTACTGTTTTTTTTTCATATGGTGTATGTTTAAATGTGTCAATACTAACTCCCAATTTATTAGCAGCATATGTAGAGGCGTGATGTGTAAAATGCGACTTAAATACTGCGATATGTACTCCATTATGTGGGCTTAATTTCAACCAACGGCTAATATATTGCAGGACGTTGTGACTTTTTATGTTTAGAAAATAGCCATTTATTAACCTCCTCCGTGCTTTCTAATTAGAACTCCAAAACTTTAGGTACATATAAAAGGTTATTTTTGAATCCATCGATTTACAGTTAAGCCATCCAACTAAATGCAAGGAACAAGGAAAACGTTTTGCTTCTCCTAGATTTAAATAATCAGCGTGATATCTTAAGAGAGCAAAACGCCAGTTCTATTAAAACACAAAACAAGAATGACGTTGGCAGGAAATCGGCCAATGAATCCTGTTTTAATTTTACGAATGTTTTGGGTATACGTTTGCGTACTCGCGAATTTACTGGATCAGTGACGAACAGCGCCTCGTGCGTCTACCATTCGTGTATACAAAATGCGTCGCACGAGGCATTCAGTTCACTAGCGTTTATTTCTTGTGCTCTACAAATGAACCCAGCATTGACCTTCAAATGATTTAGCTTGCACAAAAGTGGCCGTTTCAATAATTGGACTGAATTATACTGAAGGCATCATCACTAAATCATTATGACATGTTTTTTTGCACATAAAACTGCCAATATACGTAGGTAATAATAATAATTTTAGATACCTACCTTCGTTCTTCTATTTTTGAGAAATTGTAGATGGGTAGATGTTACCAAAATTATAGATTTGGGAATTCGTTAAAAAATTTAATTTAATTCATTCATTTATTTATTTGACATAAATAGTAAATTTAATGCATCATCTTCTGCCGGGCGCGTCCAATTTTTCGTCTTTTTGCAACTTTTCTTTTTTGTTGAAAAGAGTGATCTCTGTGGCGTAATTTTCTTATTATGTGGAGTTCTAATATAGGAAGTTGTTGATGCGAATAAATTGCTGGACGAATTTACAGCTAATGTAGGTGAAATATATATTTGCTAATATATTTTTAATTATTTGAAGTTTCGTAGGACAATTCATATCTTTCAAGTACCTGGTAATTTTGTTTTGTATATCACACTGACAATTGAAATTATATTTCGTGGAATTTTTGTACAAGTTTGGGGCGATTTCATCCGCTGCATCTTTGTGAAAATTTCTTGCATGTCGCCTTAAACTTGATGCATTTGAAAATATTTTGCCGCATACATAACAACACTGATTAGGCATTTTAATTATTAACAGACATTATGATAATTGACGACACACAAGCACATAACAAATTAACAAGCACGAACGAACTGAACAGCTGTCGTTATCACTTCACCTTACTTCACTAGATGGCGCCACAGAAGCAGGTTCATTTATAGAGCACAAGAAATAAACGCTAGTATTCAGTTCGGCCTTGGCTTACCTCATACGCGTACATGCTCAGATCTGTACACGGCTTTTACTTTCCTCATCTGTATACAGACAGGAAAGTAAAAATTGTGTTTAAGATTTGTATTTTTCCTTTACGGATATAGCACATTTGAGTTTTGGATAACTTTTTTTTTCATATAACTCCACCATTTAAATATTTTAATTGATAATAAATTTCTTCACAACCATATTATATTTTTATCCTTACTGTTTTTAGGTTTGCGTGTATTGTATGTTTGTTGCACTAATGGCGTTTTTTGCAAAAATTAGTGACTCATCAGTTGGGGGTACCTACATGACTTTATTGAACACATTAACCAATTTAGGAGGCAATTGGCCAGCAATATTAGCACTATATTTTGTGGACCCGCTTACTTGGAAACAATGTGAAGGTGGAGCAGAAAGTCTAGATAATACTTGTAGAACTACTGTAGAAAAAGATGTAAGTATAGTGGGCATATGTATTGGGTGTATACAGAATGCCCTTGTGGTTCTAAATAACACATATTTAATGGAGACAATATGCTTTTCCAGTTTGCTCGTCAAATAATAAAACAATGAAAAAAAATGGGTACCTTGCACAGACCCATTAAATATGGCTTATTTAGAGAATCATCTTGGTGGTCTCTATGGACTTTTAATTTAAAATATGCGGATTTTACAATAATATGTATAATTTAATTTCCATTTCAGCTTTGCATCAGTAAAGGAGGTCAATGCGTTACAATTCTAGATGGCTTTTATATAGAAACGTTAATATGTATTGTAATAGGATTCCTGTGGTACCTTTGGGGCGCAAAAAGAATTCGACACATCCAATTGTTAGGTGAAAATGCCTGGAAATTGAAATTGAATAAAAAATCAGGAAAAAGATAGTATAATGAAATTTATTAGACTATTGTAAATATGTCTTATTAAATTGAGTGATTTTTTACTGTGAAATTGTGCTCTAGGACAAAAAATTAATATGTTTCTCATGATCTATGTCTACACTAACTATAATAATAATCCAAATAACACACAGAATAAATTTTTAATTGATTTATTAAATCAGAGAATATTTTGTTAATTTTTACGTCAATTTGGAATTCTCCTCAATGTTTTTTTTTTTTTCAGAAATTGATAGTTATATACGTATAAACAGGTTTTATTCATATTTTTTTAAATTCATTCCTGATTTCGAGAAAAAAAATTATAGTCATGGTTTTTGTAGTTTCAAGCGTTTCATTCGTTATTTGACATTTGACAAAGTTGCCTATTAATTGACGACAGACGTGAAGGCTCCAATGCCATTATCTAAAACTGCGTAATTTCTAGACATTTCTATTGGTTTACAAACTTGTGTTGTAGTGATTATAACTGATTATTGGATTATAATAATTAAATAGTAATAATTCGAAAATGGTCTAATTTAAATACGTTATGAGGTTAGATACTTTGTTTTTTTGATTTGTTATAAATAATTAATGATTACTTGTTGATTAATTTTTCTTTTTATTATAATATCGCTGTGTTTAAAAAGTATATACACAGAAGTAATCCAGGGGTAATTCTTATAGTTTAGGGTCCTAATCTAATTATTGCTTTTATACAAATATAATAATGCTGCTTTATATAGATTACACTAAATTACAATGTATATAATATAGGTAATATAAAAGCCTTTGCTTAAAGGATAGGCGTTCAGTATACTTTATTTTTTGCTGTTCTTTTTTGTGAGATGAAATATATGTTGGATAAGCATCTTGTACCAAATTGTTTAAATTCAACGGATATTTCTCCAAACAAAACATTTATATTTATCTCAGGAATTTGAATATGAGAAAATGGCGGTTTCGGGCTATAGCACTTTATAAAAACTATAAAATACTGTTGCGAAGATCATTTCAATATATGTCGCTACATTAAAAACTATTTTTTTATAAGGTAACATATATAATAAATTATAAATATGGTCATGATACATTTATTTATATGATTTATAAATTTATATTAGTAAACTGCTGTAAAAATTTCGATAAAAATATAAACATACAAAAGACAATTAGGTTGGAACATAACACACAACTGACTGTTAATATAAATACAGCGTTTAGGAATTGATCCAAACTATTCTGAAATCCCTCTCCCTTTCTCTTAAATGAGAGAAAAGGATGGAAGCGATTTTCCGAGTGCGGAACTTGAACGGAACGGATGAATCCCTAAGAAACAACCTTACACCGTTGCCAAATATCCAAAGAGAAACGTGGCGCTTTAAACTTTAAATACCTGACTTTATTTTTCAATTTTAACTACCTAGAAAAAAAATTTAAGGGATAAAAATTTTGTAGAGTATTTTAGATATTTTTCATTATTTATGTATTTTCTTTTTAGATGAGAATTCCCTATTGTTTGCATTTTGATTTTTTTATTTCTTAATATTTTTCAATCAGGTTTTAGTAGAGATACAGAATATATGCACTAATACAGAAGCAAAGTCATTGTCGGAATCTTTGCGAAGGTCAAAATTTAAGTGACAGTTAAAGTTTCTGTAGTTTTTTACTTCCACTAGGAAAAATGATCAAGCTTAGTTAGTTCAGATAATACACTAATATTTAAATATCTTTATCTTTAACAAACAAATGTATGGAAAATCGATTTATGTATGATTTACGTCAATTTCTTTCATTATTTCTAAAAATTTATGAGATATTCCAAGTTTTAAACTTATCTTACTAAACTGTGACACAAATATCTTCTCTAATTTATAAATGTATAATTACTCTTGTTGCAATCAAAATGTTTCCAGTTTTTCCCATAGAAAAGTTTAATTCTAATTGTAATCCTATTTTTTATTTCGTTTAATCGTACTATTTTTAATCAGAGAATCTTCAGTTGTTCTGTGTCCCATTCTTAATATAAGAAAAAAATTATTACGTTGTTTTGTGATGTTGTTGGCATACTGAAATTGACTCGACAATGGGTAATTTTTTAATTAAATATTATTTTGCTCAAAATTTTTTAGGAACCAACTATTTCTTTTTTTTTTATAAAGTTGTTTTGTGAGAGTAGAATTTTGACTAGGGGACTGGGACTGTATCACCTACCAGTCTTGTCGGTTACAAGTATAACTAGAGCCCGTATGTTAATAGATCATTTCAGTCCAGGTATGGATTTTACCTCGACAAAATATTTATCGATTTAGTGTTAAAAATTTTCTGTGTATATTAATTAATAGAGCTCAAATTATATTATTGTAGACGTCAAATTAGGGAGAAAGTGACGATTTTAGATATAATAATACTCTCCCTAATTCACCCCTTTACGAGTGAATTTTAACCCCAATATTATTATTATTTGCCGTGGCGCTCCGGGGCGACTTAAATATGATATCTAATTACAAGATTAAAACGACTAAACGAATTTGTATTTTTAAATAATTATTCTATCGACAATAATTAAAAAAATATTTTTTCTAATCCGTTTGAGAAAACCCACTTTATCGATAAGGGTTGTTGAACGGTTGTTAAACGCAAAAAGGGGCCAATTTATGTTCCTAGTTGAATTTTGTTTATTAAGCTGTCAATTTCGACTAAGAAATTTTACGTTTTTAAATTCATTTAACCACGTTAGAGAAATACTCACTCGCTAGTTGAGCCAATGAACATTATATTTAATATATACCAATGTATTATCCAGTTGTCACGAACCACTGCTAATCGTCCAAAGAAAATATTGATAAATGTTTTATCTAATTTTGACATATAATGTTGAACATTATGAAACTAGTTACGAAAAATTCATTATGTCACCAGTTGCGAAAAGAAAACAAAAAAATGAACCTTTTTTGTTATAAAATCAATAATATACCTACATTATTATTATTATTATTGAAAGTTTATATCAAAGAAGGGAAAGTTGACTTATAAAAATAGAATTTGTTTAAACTTACAACATAGTAATAATATTGTTTTGGTCCTTATTTTCCATTCTAAATCAGCACAAAATAGTTAAAACGCAATAGAAGACAAAATAACTCACTTTTTTGAAAACTAAATAACTTTAATAAGCAATATAAACACAAGTCGTTGAGAATAAATAATGAATATGTCAATAAAATTATGCATATGCAACAAGAAAGTAATATTGGTTGCCTAGATGTCAGTTATGTTTTCCCAAACACAATTTTTATAAATAATCTAATCAAAATTAGAAAAAATATTGTATGTAACATGTTATGTTACTCGCTCATGTTGCGGAACCTCGCTCTGCTCGTCCCGCAAATACTCGTTACATAAAATAAAGCTATTCGTAAATACTTATTAAACAACAATTCTGATTTTTCATACTACCTGTAGTCTTCTGGATCTTTAAAAGGTAAAGAAGTAGATGTTTCCCAGGAAAACATAAATGTACCGTCTTTAAACAATTACACAATATTTCTACATTCTATAAAGTATGTCCGTAAAGTATGGAATAAATTCATTTTCAGCTAAAATATCATTTTTTTAATGAAATTCTCGAAACAGGTATATTTTTAATTTTCCACATTTTGAATAAAGTTATATATAGGGCGATGAACATGACGTCAGCTACAATTTTTTAATGGGAAGCCTATATATTATTCATTTTGGGAATCGCTATGGAAACCTAACTACAAAAATTTATCATACATAGGGTTTATAAATAGTTCGTCCGTTAAATATTCAAGGAATAACTTTTGGAAAAACCCTAGAAACCTTCGAATTTTATTGTCATTTGAGCATTTTTTCAAATGAAATTAATAAATAATTCTTGTAGGAGGAATGACATCCATATTTGTTTAAATTCAACCCCAGTTTTCATTACGGACGTAGTGATATATTTTTGAATTTATCTTCCATGACAATTCCAAAAATTGGATAATATATAGGGCGTCCCCTGTATAAATATATAACTATTTGATCAAAATGTAGCAAATTGAAATTAAAAATCGACCTGTTTCTGAATTTATTCCATAATTTACAAACGTCTCCGTGACGTCCGTGGATGTTATATGATCATTTTATGCATATGAATTTTACCATTGATTAACTTAAAATATAATGGAACACGAAATGAAGACAAACTGAAAGTTTTATCCCGAAAAATCTGTTTAACTGCTAAAACAAATGACATAATTCAGTTATAAATTCCAGAATCCGAGAGGTGATAAGAAACCCAAAAAAAAATTTGGAAAATGGTTTTGAAAAAATCAGACGTTGAGGATCCATGTTGGTTGTTAAAAGACTCAAACAATTAGGTAACGCTTCGGTGGTTTAATGGTTATGCCGTTGGGTCGGCAACCCAGGTTCGCGCTTCGAGCCCTGCTCAGAGTGGATTTTTTCAAAATAATTTTTCTTTGGTTTGTTGTTATCACTCCTCTGAATCTGGAATTACTATTTTCACTTACATATGGAACAGTTATTTATATTTATTTTAAATTTTAATAGTTATCACATATGTATATAGTGTACAATGCAGAATAGTCTACTGTGTAGTATAAGTGTAGTTAGAACATACCCAGTATTTTCTATAACTGCCAAATTTATAAGATTAATTTATGTATAAAATATCATTTTAGTATAAATAAATGTTTGCATGCGTACGGTGTGCTGAATCCACACCTTTTTTTGACTTATGAGCTCTGACATAGCGGCCCTGATCATCAGCAAAAAAATTGATCCCCAAAAATTTGCTAGCTTTCGGTTCTGCATTAGTGTATATTCTGTGGTAGAAACCTTAAATCATTGCACAAATTTTATTCTATTTCATTGTCTTGTTATAGAAAACTTTTTCTTTTTACCAGTAGTTTCCTAATAAAGATTTTTGATGACTTGCAGGTTTACTAATAGAATTTGTATCAAATTATATTATATGATATTAAACTAATTTACTTAATTTTTATCTATAATATTGAGTACAACCGATAAAATATTCTAGAATTCAATGTACCTACATAGATCCTGAATAACTACTTTAATATATTTTTTTAATAAAATTTGTAAATATGGGTGTAAACATATTTAGATTGTAATTGGTGATTGATTGTATTTTACTGTTGTTTAAATTATTTTGTAATATTTTTTTGAATATTTATTAAATATGTATTTGCTTAGTTATTAATTAACTATAGCTGAGGTTGTTACGTTTGTCAATCTGAATTGTTTTGGGTTCAATAAAAGTATAAAAATAAATATGGATAAAAGCATTTTTATTACACCACAACTTAAAACTGTGTTATTGAAAGCAACGCTTTATATACTTTTTCTACATTAATGCAAAAAACAAAACTTTATTGAACTATATTTAGTGAAAAAACTGGTTCTTTATTGCACTCATCTGTCATTTTACTACAGCGTTTTATGATCATGACAAACATAAATATTCAAATCAACGCCAAATATTTAGTCCATTTTCATTTTCTGTGTTACGTTTTAAAAACAATTGCATATTTTATATTATTTTCAATCATTTAATATATAAATTAATAAAAAAATGTATTTTATTAAAAATGGCATTACAAATTATGAACACCAACGTAAATAAATGCCTCAAAGAAAGGTACACGATCACGGCTACTATGATATGGATAATACAACTGCAGTTCTATAAAACATTTTTTGGTTTTGCATGAACGTAGTAAAAATATTGTATGCAACTCGTCCAATAAACACTTTTTGCACTTGTTGCATAAATAACTATTATTCAATATGAATTAAATAAATTTTCTTTTTATTCGTTCCGTTCATTCAAAGTTTGTTCTGCGGGTACTGTTCAATAACAAATAGAAAAGACACAAAATAATTATCAATCCCGTATTTAGCTTACAGTAGAACAAACCTAATGACGAATTTCACCCATGTAGAAACAAATCAGTAATGTACTAACCAGTTGGCCGAACTGTAACTTTTCAAGTTTGTTTTTCTTAATCTACAAAATGGTTGTAAAAGCCAGTAGCGTGGTTATAGCTGAAATATAAATAGTTATAATTTGGAATCGTTGAGTTTTTTGCATTTTGACGTGTAGAGCATATAAAATAATAAATAAAATGAATCATTTTAAATTTGTGGCCGATAAATAATATTTATTAGCAATGGCACATTGTAGAACATGGGATAGTAAAATGAAAGTAAAACGAGGAAATTTTGATGATTTATCTAATCAATTTTGAGAACATTAAAATATTAAAAAAAAAAGAAATTGTACATATCAGATAGTGAAATAAAAGAATTTCACACAATTTAAACTATTCTAGCATATACAGTGTCACCTTTAAAGTCCACATCATAGGGTTTCTTTATTATTTAGTTTACGAAAATTTAGTATTTATGAACAGTTTTTATTTCGGAAATATATAAAAATAAACTCATACTCATGTATGGGCGAACAAATAAAATTCCAGCACACAGTATATACTTGTACCCAGATGTACTAATACAAAACAAAATTCTGGATTTTTGATACATGCCCGTCACATACAGGGAGGTAAGAAATCCTAATAGTAATAACACTGTATAGGTAATAATGAAATAGTATTTACTTGTAAAAAAAAATAATTAAAAATATTGTTTCTCCGTTTTAGTTATATACAAAATATTTGCTATAGAACAACGATTGTTCTAAAGATATAATAATAAGTTTTAAAAAAAGTAATAGAATATAAAAAATAAACACAGTTTAACAGACCACGTCTTAAGCCCCATTTTCAATCAATTTTTGTCAGAATCAGTAGGCTTCATCCCTTTATAAAGCTTGATTTTTCCTGAAGATTTCAATTTGATATCGTTTTTATTTCTGAGTTAGCATTTTTTGTCAATATTTCAACCCCCTTTGTCCCCCCATTTTTATTCAGATTTTTTCAGAATCAATAGAGCTTGATTTTTACTAAAAATTTCATGCCGATATCGCTTTTGGTGCTTGATTTCTATTTTTTTTTTTTTTTTTTTTTTTTTCATAATCCCTCAATTTGTTCACAATTTTTAAATCAATAGGCTTTGTTCCCTTATAGTACTTGATGTTTTCCAAAAATTTTCGGATTTTTTTTTTAATGTTTCAATCCTCCATTATAATTCAGTTTTTTTCTAAAATAATAGGCTTCCTCTTCTTAAAGAGCTTGATATTAACTAAAAATGTCATGTTGATATCGCTTTTCGTTTTTGATTTACCATTTTTTTTTTTTTTTAATTTCAACCCCCTTAACTCCCCATTTTTGCTAAAAATTTCAAGTTACTACAATTTTTCGTTTCAATATTTTAAGTCCATTTATCATCCCATTTTTATTCAGATTTTTTTCAGAATCAATAGGCTTCATTTCCCTTCTAGAGCTTGATTTTTAATGATCATTTCATGTTGATATCGCTTTTGGTGTTATTTCAACATCCTCCATTTTGTTCAGATTTTTTTTTACATCAATAGGCTTTTGTCCCCTTTAGAGCTTGATTTTTGCTAAAAATTTCAAGTTGATATTATTTTTCGTTTTTGAGTAAGGATTTTTTTAATTATTTCAAAAAGCTAGATTTTCCTGAAGATTTCAATTTGATATCGTTTTTTGTTTCTGATTTTTTTCAATATTTCATCACCCCTAAGCCCCCCATTTCTATTTAGTTTTTTTTTTTTAGAATCAATATAGTCTTCCATTCCCTTGTAGTCGAGTTTGATTTTTCCTAAAAATTTCAAGTTGATATCTTATTTCGTTTTTGGGTTAGGATTTTTTTTAATATTTCCGTCTCCCATTTTAATTAAGATTTTTTTCAGAATCAATAGGCTTTATCTTCTTGCAGAGCTTGATTTTTACTAAAAATCTCATGATATCGCTTTTCGTTTTTGTTTTTATTTCAACTCCCCTTAACGCCCACAATTTAACTCATTTTTTTACAAAATCATTGATTTTTGCTAAAACTTTCAATTTTATATTTTTTGTTTTTGAGTTACAATTTTTTTTTTAATATTTCAACCTTAACCCCCCATTTTTATTCTTATTGGCATCGTCCACTTATAGAGCTCGATTTTTCCTGAAATTTTCAAATTAATATCGCTTTATGACATCGTGCGGACAAAGAACGTGACATCGTGCGGTCAAAGAACGTGACATCGGAAGGACGAACGGACCAAATGCATAATACTCTTCACAGACTACTATCTGAAGAGTATAATAATAAAGTCCCTACTATTTATACACCGGAAATGGTATAAAAGCCAATCAACTTGTGTCGTTTGGTTCTTAAGAACGAAACACCTGCTAAAGCTACACTGGCATACAAAATTCTTACCATGTTCATTATGTGAAAATTGATTAAAGAAATTCTCTGGTATCATCCGATATACCTGGTTGTTTTAATTGTTGAAGACCTGATATAAAATGACAGCTATATTTGATGTTAAAATACTACTAAAACATGGCGGCAGCAGTCATGCACATATAAATTTGGTCCACAAACAGCTAATTTAGATTCGCTTCTTGAGTAGGTATTCTTTGGCTCAGCTGTAGCATCCACAACCTACTTGCATATACTTCTGACCCTATCCATAAATTTGCAGACAACAGCACTCTGCATATCAGCATTCTGTCCACCAAACGAATATCTTGCAGTGAGCCCGACAGTCTACACCTAAACAGTTTCCTTTTACCAATTTATTTAGGGTACGGGTATTGTTAAAAACTGTACAAAGGTACCGCACATTTTGTGAAAAAAACATTTTTTAGCTTAGGTTTTTATTTTAAGTATGGGTACATGATAAAGACCAGCTTTTATATTAAAACTTAAAAGCAACACTTTTTGTATTGTGATTGTGCAAATTATCAACAAAACGTTGCACGGAGCATCAAACATTAAAAATATGCAATACTATTGATCTTGAACTCGGTAGTTACTATTGTGAATGAATATTTTAAATCATTAGTGAAAGATCATTAAACGTATTAATTTACAATGATATTCCGTAAAGGAAAGCCTCGCCTTTCTTAGCAAGGCAGTATAAGTTCCAAACAAAGAAACATTTTTGTTGAATGAATTAGACATTTTAGAAGGAAAAAAAATATTCTTAAAAACGTATACTGTATTTACAAAATTCTTAAATTAGATGTTTCTTGAAGGTACATTTTTTAGAGTTTTTTTCTTAAGAAAACCAATTTATTTTGAATAATTTGCGTTGATATAATGGAAAAGTACAACAAGAAGAAAAAGAACAATCCCAAGTGCATTGGAAAGTATTGCCAGGTGGACGTCGGTGAACATTCTGAAAGCAGAAAAGGTTTGTATTACTATTAAATAAATTCACAAGTTTATGCACTGAATAATATAATATTACAAGAATTTGTCTATAATGTTATTTGTCTAGCATTTAGGCATATCCCAATGTTCATAGATAAATACAAAAACAAAGAAGTCATGTAGAGGATCTTTTTTTAGCTCCAAAAAATAAATACAAATACAGAGAAGTCATGTATTAAGTTTATGTGTTATTTATTACATTTCAGTAAATTATGTATTACAAACAAACAAGAACAAATGCTGGACAGACTTTGAATTTAAAAATGATGTACAATTAGGGTTGCCAGACGTCCCGCTTTTTCACTTGCTGGCACGCGTCACGTCAAAGTACGAAAATGCCCCACTTTTTACCTAAATGCCTCGCTTTTCCTAAATGCCACGCTTTTTTCCTAAATGCCACGGTTTTTACCTAAATGCTACGCGTTTGACATAAATGCCACTTCAAATCAAAAGTTATAAAATACTTTTTGATTTTTTTTTTTTTAGAATTTTAGAAGCTTTCCGCACCTGTTTTATAAAAATATATGAGCAGAGGACTTTTTCTAGATCTCCACAAAAAAGGACCTGCTTTTTTAACGTGATCCCCAGTCTTCAACATTGTCCCTCTTTTCCCTTTGGTAAATCTGGCAACCCTCTGTACAATACAGTGAAATGATGTACGTATGGTCACCTATTTTAGGGGTAATAAAGGAGCTATTTGATTTTTGAATTCTTACATAAGGAAAACAAATTATGAGGAGATACTAATGCTGCGTTTGAGAATCCACATCGGATGCATCTGAGATGTAAAAAATCTTTGATCACGTGATTCAGTATACGTAAATGTAATGGGACAGATGTGTCCGATGTGAATAAAAAAACGCTCGAGATGTAAAAAATGCATCCGATGTGGATTCTCAAACGCAGCATAATTATGTAAATATCCAGCGTTGTCAAAATACTCACTTATATAAATTATCCGCATTTTTTAAAATTACTCTATTATTACAAGTGGTCCACTACTGTGTGGATAAACATATTGCTAATTGCTTGAATATTTTTTAATAAACACTATTTATTAATAATATAAGAGATTATTGCTAGGATCCACCATAAAATTCGGTTCTAACAAAATGTAAAGAAAAACAATTTATAGAAAAGAATATTTAAGAATTTACTCAAAAATGCATCTCTAGAAGAAAACAGCATAAATTAATTTTATATGGAAAATATCACACAATTCAAACATAAATTGGCGTTCTTATAACAAATTTGACCTTTTTTTGAAAAAAATCGAAAAAATGTGAGATGACGTAATTAAAAAAATTAGTTATTTTTGTTTTCACTATTGGTATCACAAGTTGTCAACTATCATTCATTACGTCATTTGTCATATATGTTTGTTGTCTTCGTTCAAAAATAATCGGTTATTCTGGTTTTTAGTAGAATGTGTGAAGATTAATTTTAAGGTAAGCCTTAAATATTAATTAGAATTTGCTTAAATAATTTGAAAAGAAGGTACCTACTAATTAAATGGAATTAGATATTTAGTTTTAGTAAATAAGACATGACAATATCTTAAATTTATTTATTATTACACTAAAAATAAAAAACTAAAAACAGGGTTTGTACATTTCTTTAATATATTTGCAAAAAATCAAATAAACAGTTTAAAAAACATTTCGTGAGAGGCGATCTTATCAAAAAATGATTAGAACTCGAGTGTTAAAAGACAAACTTATACTGCCATAGTCTCCAGAATATCTAAATATTGTTTTATATATATTTAAAATAAAGTAACAGTGAGCCGCTATATTGCGGTATAATAATTAATCATTGAATTATTATAATTGAACACAACACACTTGCCTAATAAAATATACAGGAAAAAAAGTGTTTCCTGTCTACCACTTCCACAACATTACACATGCCTACCTCAAAAATATTTCAGAACAATCAATAATTTAATGATTATTACTTACTTGTTAAATTTTTAGAACCCTTTTAATTACTAGAATATCTTAGTTTTTTTGGGAAGATAACCTTTAACGTGGCTTCTCTTGACAACAAACCGGTAAATGTCAACGTCAATTGTCGTATTGACGTTACGTTTACGTTGCGCACAAATATTTTGCCATGTTGTCAAGTTTATTCAAGTTTCCTTTGTCTACCTACTACATCCATAAGCAATTAAAGGCATTTCTTTATAAGCTTACTACAACATACTTGGTTACAGTATTGTGGTTACATAAGTACGTTTAGAAACCTCGCACGACGCGTCTGGACCCTATTCTAATGTATGTGGTAAGACGCGTCGTGCGAGGTTTCTAAACGCACTCCTGTGGTGACATTACGCATACCATGGTTTCCCTATTATTGAATGTCATATGTCAAATTTAATTTAAGTTTGGGGATTTCTAAACGAAATTTGTATTTTAGAAATTTTAGGATGTTTTGACTTTGTTATTTTTTATTATAGTATGTTCTAGTAAGCTTATAAATAAAGGCATTCCTTTATAAGCTTAACGCGACATACTTCGTAACAGCGTTGTGGTTACTCTGATAACGTCAGACATACCGTGGTAACTCGTAGCACTTGTCGTTGTCACATGTCAAATTGGGATTTGTTTACTTTGTTTTTGTTCAGATAAATAAAAGTGTTTTTGTCACAGACGTCATTTGGTTTTCGTGCTTTTGTTATTTATTTAAATATGTCTCCTCCAACAAAAGGAAGAAAAAAAATTAATAAGTGTTATTTGTGATGAAATAACAATGATAAATACTTGTGCCAGTAGTCTCATATTTTCATCTTTATATTTCAATATAAATAACAGTATCCAGTGGTCATCAACATCGCTCTCGTGAAGAGTTATTTCAGTGCCCTGTATTTCAAATATAATTTCTTTCATAGTAAATAGAGTTTTCTTTTGTAAATACAAAAATGCCCAACCCAAATATACAAAATGAACCATATAACCCGTAACCACAGAAAAATGTATCTAATTTAATATCTTTACAATACTTTGCGCATGCTCGATATGTTTAAATGTGGACCTTACCACACACCTTACCACTAAAAACATCATGGTTAGTAGTAGTTACGTATTTTGGTAACGTATGACGTCATGGAAGTAACCAAACCGTTTAAAGAATTGCTTTGGTTACATAAGTATGTTCTATTAAGTTATGGTAAGCTTATAAAGAAATGCCTCGTTAGATGTAGCTACATATGCTTTGGTAACATGTAACCAAAGCAGAGTAACCAAACGTTATAAAGAAATGCTCTGGTTACAGAAGTATGTTCTGGTAAGCTTATAGAGAAATGCCTTAAATAAATGATCTTAAATATGTGGTCAATTTATTCAATAAGAATCAAGAAAACTCTAAATCTGCTCTAAATACCACCATTTAAAAAGTAACTAGCAACTTGTTTCAGCTATATTTGCATCAGGCCTAAATACAATTGTTATTTTTTTTATTGTATTCATGCCTGATAATGACAAATATGGTCGAAACGAGTTGATACTAACTTTATAATAATTTTTTATGTAATATATGATTTAGTTTTTTATTAGTAAAGTAACTGTCACAAATTCAATTATTATGAATGTGAACATTCCATGCTTACAGAGATAAACTATAGGTTTGTTTCAGCAGCAGTGCAATGTTTTGCAAACGTATAGAGCAAGCACATATAAAATTTGACGTTTTAGCAGAAATATTTTCAAACTCTGACTAAAATGTTGATGTTCCTGCTGTGTCTAGCATCTAGAGCCGGTCATTAAACCGTTTGTTGACCAGATCAGTTTGAGAATTATTTTCAAACTACGAGTTTGAATATGCAATATGCCCAAAGATAATACACTCACTAACCAACAGGAATGTTCCATAGGTGGTTAGTGAGTGAATACATAACATGCTCTTAAAGCAGTAAACATAAGTGTAGAAGATGTGAATATAAGAGGCTTGGTTGTGAGAGGATGTCCACAGAGAGGGGTGCTATCACCTCTACTGTGGAACATGGTCCTCGACACCCTTATCAGCCGCCTCAATAATGACAGGCACTACACAATAGCATATGCAGATAACCTGGTCATTCTGCAAACAGGGAATTTTGAGAACATACTTTGCAAAAGAATGCAAGTAGCTCTCAAAATTATAGAACAGTGGTACAAGGACCATTCACTGTCTATCAATCCTAAGAGGACAGAAATGGTCCTTTTCACAAGAAAAAGTATGAAAATAGAATTAAAACCTCCAGAACTCCTAAACACAAAACTACACTTTGCAACAGAGGTGAAGTACCTAGGTCTCACCTTTGATAGCAAGTTAACATGGAACTCGCATTTAGAAAACAGAGTCAAAAGAGCATACATTGTTTATGAACAATGCCGCCGAACTGTGGGGCGCACCTGGGATTTCTCCCCCAGAGTCGTCGCATGGACTTACACGGCTATCATAAGAACTATGCTAACATATAGTGAAGTTGTCTTGGTATTGAAAACTCAAAAATTAACAGCTATCCGTAAACTAGAACAAATTTAAAGAACAGCATGTCTCAACATAACAGGAGCCATGAAAACAACACGGACCAGATCCATGGAACTTGATATTTACATGAAGGAGGTTGCTCTGAGGACAATGACATGCCTCCACACAGTTGGAATAGCACCTGATGTAGAATCAAGTGAGGCGAGACGTTGCTTTTGGTAGGAGGCGTTTGATACGCTCCCACCGCTTCCATGGGTTCCATCTCACAGATATATTTTCCATAAGTCATATAAAGTTATAACAGAACAAACAGAAGAGCTGGAAGTGGCAAGTATGATTCATATCTACACCAACAGTTCTAAAACAAAACAAGGCTCAGGATGTGGAATATACTCCAGATTCCTAAACATAAAATGGGCTATGAGCAATAGTGCCAGTGTAGTTCAAACAGACCTAACAGGGATTCTCATAGCAGCAAAAGAAATCACCAGAAATAATATAACTGGAAGGAACAAGCTCACCTATACAGATAGCAAAACAAGCACTACTCACCCTGAACAGACCATGAATTTACTTAGGGTTAGTACTAGAATTTCACGAAGCTTTGGCCGAAGTATCCATCAACAATGTGGTCACCTTGAGATGGATTTTTAATCCCGCCACATCTAAAGGTAACTGTTATGCTGATTCACTAGCCAAGAAAGCAGCCAACCAAATACTTTTTGGACCTGGTTCTTCTATTGGCCTGACAAAATCGGTAGTGACAGACCTAATTAAAGAACATTCCCTTGTAAAATTCAAGGAAAGATGGGATGAAACAAGAAACTGCAGAGTTGCCAGGGAGCTCTTAAGTTATCTTGACAACACTGCATACTTGACTATGACTAGACAGAATCTGCGCCTAGTCACAAGCATTCTGACTGGTTATTGCCAAGTACGGAAGCATCTCCATATCATGGGGCTGTCAGAATCCGCACTCTGCAGAGGGTGTGAACAGGATGATACCATCGAGCATATCCTTTACGATTTCTCGATGATCCCATTTATTAGAAGATTTGTGTTCGGCGAGTATCGGCTAACACCGGCCGATATAAGAGAAGTACCTCTTGGTTACGTTGTCATCTACATTAAATCTGTAGGCTGGCTCACGAGCTAGGAGGTGCCTATCATCTTAGGAGGATGCACAATGGGCCTAGTGAGGCCTAAGTACCGTGAGGATAACCCACCCTCCACACATTACAGGTGCAATATGCCCACCTGGCAAGTTCGCAATCAATTTTATGTTAGAATTTTTAAAGAAATTAAATAAACTAATGTCGTTCGCCCCGTGGTCGAAATTCGACCATAATCAATATAGAAAATTTTGAGGAAAACATATGCATTTACAGGTTTTTAATATATTTTTTTTATTCTTATACATTCATTCATTCATTATATATCTGAGACCATAAACTTTATATGTACTTACAATACAATATAGTGGGTGGGGGGGGGGGGGGGGTAGTTGGGCGGATTTTAAATCGTTTTAGACAGGCTTATGGCCATAGGCCCCTCTATTCATTTTTCTTCTGTTCCTTGCCATTAAGGCATGATAGAGGAAGAGGAGGGGAAAGTTGGAGGAGTGTGTGAAGAAATAATTGTTTGTGTTGTTCATGATCCTCTATCCGTCCATGTAATGGTGTCCATGTTGGTTCGAAATTAAAGTGTGCTCATGTTCGTTACTGGCTATTTTATTAATCAATCATGATTCATAATTGTGGATCAATGTATTTTATGTTTCGAAGGTTGGAAAAAAATACTAACTACTTCCAAAAAAATTTTATTGATAACACTGAAGCTCTTCAATAGCTACTAAATAAAAAAAAACGGTTCATCAACAGAAGAGAATTTAGTACTGAACTATTTTGTCTTTGCCTATTTTTTTGAAAAAACAATCTACAACTGCCAGGCTCATGTGCAGTAAATTCTGGTAGTCTTGGATTGCTTTGGATTTCCCAGTCCAATGTTCTGGTTTCATATTTGAAATAATTCAAGATTATTGAAAACAATCAAAATGTGTTCATGCTTCGGAATGTAGACTGCCTCGGGACTATTTTGATTGCGCATGCGTTTTTGAAGTGTGATTATTTTATTGCATTTGTAGACCGCATACCATAACATAATCTATATAATCCCAAATTGTCTATTTGTTTATTATAAGTGTCTTGTTTTCGTTTAATTTTCAATGAATGCCACTTTTAGTATTTATATAGTATTGCTATTATATTTTTTACATATTATTTTCCAGTTCTGACGAGGATGTTAATGAACATATACATGCAAATGTGAATTGAAGAAGCTGAGCTTTTAAAACAAGTCATTGAGTCATTGAAAACAAAATTGTGTTCATGCAGCAGTCAAAATTGGAACCGTTCATAAACTACACAACTGCTCAAGCAGTCTACAAACCATTGGCAACTGACTGAAGAAACACCTAAATACAAGACATGTTTCATGCAAACACAATTTCAATGCAGGCATTTTAATAGTTTTAAAAATTTGGCACTAGTAATTTATGTATTTGTAGCGACATAACTACATAATAATGAAAACTAAGCAGCCATAGAGAACAGTTAAACGTCCATCCCTTTGATTAAAAAAAAAGGTTCTCAATTCGTCGGAATATTTTTTTTATGTATGCTCAACGATAATTGTTTACCACGTTGTCCGATTTCAATGATTCTTTTTTGTTAGAAAGGGGGTACATCAGGGATGGTCCCATATAAATTTGGTCAAGATCTAATAATTGGATCCAGGAGAAAATCATCAAAGTCTTCATTTTTTATGCATGTTCAGCGATAATTCTTTACCACCTTGTCCGATTTCTATGATTCTTTTTTTGTTAGAAAGGGGTGGTCCCATATAAATTTGGTCAAGATCTGGTAATGGCATCTGCACAATTTTCGGTTTTTCAAAATTACTTTTATAAATTGTTAGATTTTCAATTTTATATTTTGGTAATTGTATTTAACATAGTAGTTGTCATCAGATATTTTTTATTCTTCACTTTGCTATGTTCTGTACCATATAATTATATTAACACTAATAATAAAGTTTTCTATATACAAGGGGCTACAAAATTATATGACATAAATGAGACAACTGATAGAATTCTGAAAAATAAATAGAACTTGGCTTAAGAAACATAATAAAATATGTTCTAAGACCTTCAAATTAGGTGTCACAGGGCGTTAAAATTAAAAACAAAATAATTATTTACCAATAATTTTGAAATTTAACTTGGCACAGTTTAATTTATATAAAAAAAATCGTTCTCATTTTTGCCAGGGGCGTACCTACATCAGGAGTATGGGACCCCTTATTAACGCTCTCTATTTTGTACGACACTACTGAAATTTTGATTTTTATATTTATTTCATAAAACTTTTACCATTTTTTTTTTTTTTTTTTTTTTTTTTTTTTTTTTTTTTTTTTTTTTTTTTTTTTTTTTGTAAACCAATCAGAAATCGAAATATTAACAAGTTACATTGCTTTTTGTATACTCTACTGATACCAAGAGTTATATTTGTAAATATTATATAACTAATAAAATTAAAATAAATTTAACTATGAAATTACCTAAATTTTTATTGTTTTACTGAATTGGTTACCAAAACGTTCCATTGAGTTCTCTAGCTTTTGAATAAGTAAACATTTCAATTAATTTGTGATATATTTACTTATCTACAGGGTGGTCCGTTAATAATGGGACACAGAGTAACTATAAATTCCTTACATAAAAGTATTGTGATATAACACAATTTACCTTAGTTCAATTCTTGTTATTAAAAAAGATACAGGGTACTAAAGTATTTTTTTATCGGAATGCTTTTATAATTTTAACAGTTTTCAAAATATTTTCAAATAAGTAAACTTATTGAGAAAAATATTGTTTATCGAATGATTTTCTAATTTCAGCACCTCAGGTAAGGTGTGAATTTGATAAATATAGGGGTCTTTGCAAATTTATTTCTATTTTTTGTTAGATTTTTTTACTTTGTCGTTTGATGTGACTTAAAATTATTAACCCCAAATTTACAATACTTGGTTTGTGACTTACCAAGTGTTCCGTCATATTTTGGTGAAATAATGAAACTAATAGGGAGTTAAATCTGTTTTCCACTAGATAGAATTTAGTATGATAAATCCACAAGTGGAGAACACTCTTTTCTCTGAAAGATGTAACTTAACTCACCTTGCCTCTGAGGTGCTGATATTAAAAAGTATGTTGTCATTTCTGAATACATTTACATTTAATATCCTATCTCAATTTTCTCCAAACTGGATTCATGGACATATTAGATGAATTGCCATCGATCGTGAGACACAACATGTGGTTTATGCATGATGGTGCTCCACCCCATTACAGTAGAACAATACGAAATTACCTTGATAATGAATTTACACAACATTGGATCAGCCGAGGTAGCCAATATGCTTGGCGAGCACGTAGTCCAGACCATAACCCTATGGATTTTTCGTTTTGGGGGTTTCTTAAATCAATGGTTTATAACGAACAAAAAAAATTCTCGTGCCGAACTTTGGCGAAAAATAGTAAATGCTATAGATGTATTCAGAAATGATAACATACTTTTTAATATTAGAAACTCATACACAAAAAGAATACGAAAACGTATTGAAGTCAATGGTGGCCACTTCGAACATTTGTTAAAGTAGTAATAGCATTTTATAATGTTAAGTTTATTATTTTAAAAGCTGTTACAAATAAAAAAAAAATACTTTGACACCCTTTATCTTTTTTAATATCAGGAATTGAACTAAGGGAAATTGTGTTATATGGCAATATTTGTATGCAAGGAAATCATAGTTGCTCTGCATTCCATTTTTAACGGACCACCCTGATGCTCTAATTAGGTAAAATTCATAGTTCGCTTATTGGTCTATTTTTTAATAGTTATATAATCACAATTATACACTTTTTGAGTAATACACTATTCTATATATAGTTTTTTTGTTACAGAAATGTATATTGCATCAGTTTCGTCAACAGTTAAATTTCATGAATTTCCGAATGGCAATGTCATTCACAATTATCAACCTGGAAAAGTAGAAGGACCAATCAGAAGTATTTCCTGGAGCAAAGATGGTAACTGGCTTCTTGTGGTTCCTTACTCAGGTCAGACAGAAATAGTCAGCACTAAAGATCAACTAAAGCTACTCAAAACCATACATGAAGTAAACGAACCAACGTCTGCTTGCTTTCAAAATACAACCAAGAAAAACATAGGTATTGGAACAAAGAGTGGTTTGGTAATGATATACGATATTAAATCTAGAAATGTTAAGAAAAGATTTCCTAGAGCTTCTTCCCAAATTACTCACATAGCTTTTACGGCTAAAGATACTCATTGTGTCGCAGGTTGTGAAAATGGGGATGTTCTAGTCTATAACAATGTAACAAACAGTCCGCCAGCCAATCTCCGCGTACCAAAATCAAATTCAATAACTAGCCTTAAAACTAATAATTTAAAAAGGAATTTAGTAATGGGAGGTAGCAAGGAAGGAATTATTGTTGTATGGGATATCAATATAAACAGAAGTAAATTTTGTGCAGAAGCCCATAAGGCTTCAATAAATTCCGTGGCCTTTTCTCCAGTTAATTCTGATCTAATTGTCACAGCTGGAGCTGATAGACAGTTTTGTTTTTATGATATAGCTGATAATAAATGTATAGCAAGTATTTCTGTAGAAAATAGCATCACTGCCGTCGATTTCTCACCCGATGGTACATACTTTGTAACAGCATCTCAAAATGGCCATGTATATGTCTATGATTCGAGAAATATTCAGGAACCTGTACATTCCTTCCTAGCTCATAAAAGTTCAATAAGGCATGTAGCTTTTCAGAATGTTCAAGAAAGCAATAATTCTAGTATGTGCAGTTTATCTTCAGAAAGTTTATTAACATCTGCATCTATAGATAATGTTACTAAAAGAAGAACTAGGAGTGTCAGGACCAGCGAGATTTTTGGTACTTTTATTCCTTCAGCTGAGCCATCACCAGTTGAGCAAACGTCTGTGGGTTCAGTGGATGGTGGTGATTCTTTTATGATGGCACTTGGTTTGGATAAAAATTTCACTGATTCTGTGAAGCATAATGATAGTGTATTCATTAAAGAAAACAGTAGGCTACCTAGCATCCACGATACCGAGCCTTCATTACCAGCATATTCACTTAAAGTTGATAAAACAGAACCCGACGATTCTAAACCCAAGCAGTTCTCTTCAACTCCAAAATTCAATTTCCAAAACAGGTCAGAGTTATCTCCAAATATTGCCTCCAATAGTTTAACAACCAATGAAATTAAATCTATAGTTAAAGATTTATTTAATGAAGAATTTAAAAGTGTTGTTAGTGACTTAAAGAATGACATCAAGTACCAAGGTACACATATAACTTATCAATTAAGAACTATGTTGTTAGACATGCAGATGGCTATGGTTAAAGAGTTCATAAAATTGGAAAATTACAATAACAGACTGAGAGAGGATATTTGTCCAAATGTCAATTATGATACTAATTTAATGGAAGAAAATGAGAGGTTAAGAAAACATATTCAATTTTTAGAAGAACAATTAAAGAATTTAACGACAAAAAAGGAAGATGAGTGATTTTTTTATTTAAGTTAAATGTGTAAAGCAAAAGTAATCACTGTAAATTATTTTGAGATTTATATATAAAATAAATTTACCCTATTATATTGTAGTGCAGTGTTATCATATTCATTTAAGAGCTGGATATGACTGCCAAAATAATATTGAATATAAATTTGTTTACTGAATTTTGAATTCAGTCAACCATTAGAAGAGCTTAACTTAAAAAGAAAACATTTTTATCTGCATAAGAAAGAGTCTACAGTGGTTGGACCATTCATTTAGACTTTTGAAATAAAAATATTTTAATTCATCTTATATGAATCATGTAGTTAAAAATACCTTTATACAAAATAAAACATTACTTTTTAATCATAATACCCAGCTCTGATTCATCTATACTAAAAAGTTTTCATCTAGAAATATTTTTGGTTAATATGCTGTATATTTTTTATACCATTTGTATTAATTGTGAAAAAATTTTTGTACTTGGAGTAATTTATGAATAGAAAATTAGTTTTTATATATGTAATGCTTTAATAAATCAAATATTTTTCTAAGAAATAAAAAAAAATCAAAAGACGAGTTTTCAGTTTTAATAGGTAAATATACTGGGTGAGTTAGGAGGAACGACAGAAATTCCAGGAATATATTACAAACATTTGTTTTCAAATTACCTATAGCATAATGTAAAAAAATTTGTGCCCAAATGTTCGCTTCGTTTCACATTTGATACTGTTGTTGTTTTGACAAGGTGAATTGTGGCAGTAATTGAACGTTTATTGTCTAGTGTGTATGAATAAGTATTTCAAAATGTCGAATCACTTTTTCACATTTAGAACGTAAAAATATATGTTGTTTGGAAATTCTGAAAATTTCCCCTACGAAATTATGAAAATTACACTCTCATATTCCCAAAGTGAAAACAAACCAAAGAAAAAATTAAAAAGGCGAGAATTAAGAAAATAAAATGCTTGCAAGACCCCCAGACAGCACACCAAATCCTTTGGATATCTACTGGACATCCCAATATCCATTGAATGTCCAGTCCATGGTGGATATCTATTTTATGTCCATGAGATGTAATTTATAGACATGCAAATGTCTATAAATAATAGTAATTATATAGCAAATTACTAAAAAATTACGCCATTGTGGCTAATAGTACGGTTCAGATATTTAAAATTAATTTTTTTAAGGTGTATTCAATATCCCATGGACATCCACTAAATATATCAAAGTCTAGGCGTGAACGCAAACCTTGGTGGATATCCACTAGATGTAATTTTTGATTTTGCCCACTAAGAAGAAAGTCATTCTTGGACCGGTTTCATCCTTATTAGAACTAGAATTATTTCCTTTTTTAAGAATAGCCCGCCTGGCTTTTATTCCACCTAGTCTCTGAACTAGGTACTACAGCGACCTTTGATTTTGCTTACTAAGTATAGATGGCGAACCACTTTCACTCGTTGAATATCTACTCATGCTCAACCCGCCGTAACTGAGTTCGATCGAAATTGGTATTGCAATCAGACTCCGTTAGAGACTGGAGTCGAGAATTTCTATTTATTGCTGAAGAGTCCAAATAAGGATGACTTTCTCCTTAGTAGGCAAAATCAAAGAAAATATTTTCTTTCGACGTTATTCAATAATTATTGGTTACTTATGAACCTCTCCTAAAATATTTTGCTGAATATCCATAGAATATCTTCTATATCCTGGGATACCGTTGGACATTTGGATATCCATATTAGATCCACTGGATATATTGGATATCCACAAAATATATTCTGTGGATATCTTTAATTGTCTGGAAGATACCCATTAGATATTTTGCTGGATATCCATAGGATATCTTCTATATTATGGATATAGACGGACATTTGGATATCCATATTAGATCCACGGGATATTTCTGATATCCTTTGGATATCCATAAAAGATATTCTGTGGATATCTCTGGGATTTGGTGTGTTGTCTGGGCCGGGAGTCGAACCCGGAACCTCAGACGAGCCGTCTGCGCGATAACCAATTAAGCCACCTCACACATACGTGTTGATGTCCGAATTCGTTAACTTGAAGTATTTCAGACTCGCATAGCTACACACAAATTATCCCAACTCAGCTCTCTCTCAATTCTTCTTCTAGCAACCTTATGACCTCGTATAGAAAGACAATAATTTTATATTACATTAGAACTAAATATAGAAGATCATTCATTCATTCAACTGTGTTAAGTTTTCGAGTACGGAACATGTAAATGAAAGTGAAGTGAGAAAGTCTGTTTAGATCCAAAAAACTAAATGCAGATTTTGAAATTCTGAAAATGAAAAATTCCTAATTCCCCCTATAAAATTATGAAAATTATCCCTATAAAATTATGAAAATTACCCCCTATATTCCCAAAGTGAAAACAAAAGAAAAATACTGAGAATACTTCAAGTTAATGATTTCGACTCCCGGTCTTTCTTACATTTTTTCTTTCTTAATTTTCAGCTTTTTTTCAATTTTTTCTTTGGTTTGTTTTCACTTTGGGAATATTAAGGTGTACTTTTCATAATTTCGTAGGGGGAAGTGGGGATTTTTCATTTTTAGAATTTTCAAGTCAGCATTTAGTTTTTCGGATCTAAACTGACTTTCTCACTTCACTTTCATATGCTTTGTTTATAAATTTTGTAATGCTATTGAAGGAATTTTTATCAGCGATTTTCACAGCAGAGACATCCCAGTTTAATTGGCAGAAGGGATTACTGCAATTAAAATTTCATCAGGGAATATCCTGGTACAGGTAAAGATGTATTTCACCGTTGAGAGGGAAATTTATTGCCCATAAATCAAACACTGACTAATAGCACAGTTTATTCTACCATTAGAAATGGAAAGAAGCAACTTATTTACATATGTACATGTCGGAAATTTACTTCATGTTCTGTTGAAGATAACGACTTGTGTAATTTCAAAAGGTAAAAAATGTCGGTCCCGAAACTATTCACTTATTGAAAGCTTGCAAATAACGTTTGTGTAACGAAAGTAGATCGGCATCCCAATAAACGACAATGAGATTGTTATCGGCTGACTGGTAAAACTGATCTGCGAGAACGAAACGAGATCCGAGCGTGGGCTCCGAGTGAGAGTTTGAAAGCAGAGTAAATGTTGTCAGGCGGCGGTTTTTCTAGCGAATTCTTGCGTGAGAGGGCGTGGCTTACTAGCGTTCTATAGTCGGCTGGAATAAAATTTGATAAATTATTTCAATTTCATTGAGGGAGTGAGAGAAATACTAGAGCATAGGAGATAAAATATATAAAAATGTGGTGTGATTGCTGTTGGCTACGTGATATTCGGTAAGCGTCGAAGACAATATATTTAGCTTGTACTATATCTAAGGCTGTATGAAATTATTTGCAGGATGGGTAATATGTACTCAGGGCCGACTAGAGGAGGGGCAGCCGGGACTAATTCCCGGGCTCAAATGGGGGCCCGGCAGCGGTATAAGAGGGGTCCGGCCAGCGGGAGTGTTAGAGAAAAAAATTGTCGCGGGGCCCGATCTGGAGAATTGTCCTGGGGCCCGGTCTGGCTCTCGACGGCCCTGTATGTACTTCTTGAATGCGTGGGTAGAGCGAGACGGACGGCGAAATAATGTTTGAATGTAAGGCTGTGTTCCAAAATTTAAACACTAGTATTAATTATTATGATATAATTTAACAGATAAAAATCTAATAAAAATACGAGTTTTTACATAATTTTCACTTCTGCTGTGAAGAATATCATCAACGCTTCCACGTCTGAGACATCGTATTATATAAGTAGGCAATAGTCATTATGCTATTCCATGAATTTAAGGTTTTTCACTCAATGATTTTTAATATTTTCCTGACAAATCTAATTTTACAATTACTGATTAGAAAGCATGATACAAACTAAATATTTCTGTCTCGTAAAGGTTCCCGTTTTTTTTTTTTTTTTTTTCAAAACTAGGAGATAATACCGTACTCGCCAGATATAATAAAGTTGTGCAATCTTGAAAATCGTATGGCTTCACCTATTGCATTTTTGTTATCACTAACTCGGCCACTAATAAGAATAACAGGTGGTGTAATCAATCAATCACTTGACAAGTAGGTCCAATAGGGTTACAAATGCGCGGCCTTACCTGTAGTATTTTGAAAGGGAACTGTAATTTATTTTATTTCAATCAAGAAAAAGTATGTGGAAGATTACAAACTGATAAGGAAAGTGCATATTACTAAAAAAAACTTACAAATATATATTTTTTTATTTTAACATATAGTGACATTTTTTGTCAAAAAGATTGCTTTACGCAACCAGTTGCATAAGGTTGAAAATTATGGCACTGGTTTCAAAAATTCATTGTCAGCAGTTGCGAAAAGAAAAATAAAAATCCATTTTTAGCTTTAACATCAATAATATACATTATTATTGAAAGTTTATATGAAAGAAGGGCAGGTTGACTTATAAAAATAGAATTTTATTAAACTTACAATAATAATTTTGTATTGGTCCTTATATTCCATTCTAAATCAGCACAAAATAATTACAATACAATACACGACAAATAAACCCACTTTCTTGAAATCGAAATAAAACAAGCAATATATAAACAAACTACAATAGGCATGAGAATAAATGAAAATTATTTATTATTTGTCAATAAAAGAATGAAGTTAATCATACGCAAGTAACAATACAAGAACGTAGTAATATTGGTTGTCCAGATGTTAGTATTTTTTTACCAAAACATACTTTTTAAAACAATCTAGTCAAAATTAGAAAAAATATGCGCTCCCAATGGCACCAGATGACAATATGAGACTAGGGCCATGTTAATATCTCCTTATATCAGCCATATGACTTTTTTGGCCTAACCAGAAGTAGCTTCGCCTCGGCCGCAAATTTCTGATTCGGTCAAAAAAGATCAACTTTACGGCCTTGGTACACAATAACTATTATAATTGCCTCGAAGAACTCAAAACAAAACCCGTTTTACAAATTGAGTAAAAAATAAAACCTTCAGATAAAAATTAAATTTCTAAAACGTATTTTTACCAAAATCTCACTTTTTCAATGGCACCAATTAAGGGTTATTTCGCCATTAAATAAGATGGCAAATTTAATTACCTATCTGACAATAGAACATTATTTTTCCCGTTTGTGATCTTATTCTATTTATCAAACAAAATAATTTGAGAAAAATAAAAAATGACAACACTGTTATGTACTGTGTGACATTGAAATTGCAACACCCAGTAAATGTGAATATATTTTTTATTAATATTTTGGGAAGTTATTGGGATCAATAGGAATAATCGATGAAATTATGAAACAAATTTATTGGAAGGTATTCATAAAAAATCAGTAGAGTTGCGCCTCGAAGTAAGTTTTGATACTCAGCAATTCTTCGTGACATGCTACGAATCTGATGATAGATATCTGCCTCAGGTATGTACTACCAGGCTAGTCTAACCTCATAACGTAGTCGGTCTACATCCATTATAAGAGCTTGCAATCGACCCAGCCTTCTACCTATCATATCCCATACATGTTCAATGGGCGATGTCAGGTAGCCCTGCAAGCCATGTAGTTACATTTGCTTGTTGAAAAAAGTCTCTTGTAACTGCAGCGGTATGTGGTCTGGCGTTGTTTTGATGAAATATGAGCTTTTGCAGTTGCTGAATGTGTGGAAACGCAACAGGTTGTAACACGTTATTAATATACAATTGGAGGTTAATGTTTCTGTCTAAAAATACTAGTGGTGACCTGCTTCCAATTACTATGATACCCCATCCCATAACGGTAAGGGCAGTCTCGCGCTCCATGCAACATTGAAGTTGGAGCCTTTCTCCACATATTCGCCATCATGAGCCAACAAACAATAATGTGACTCGTCACTGAAAACGACCCGATCCCACACCTCATTCCATTGAGCCTGTTCATCCAGGCCTCCTGTATTCCCCACTATCCTACCTCATTCAAATTCACTTAGTTGACGATACACAGCATGTCTTCTTGTGGGAGGCATTGCTAAACAATGTTTTAAATACTATAAAAGCAATAAAACTAAATATCTCTTAGCAAATTCAACAAAAAAAATTAACTATTAATTTTAAAATACTCTGGTACTTAAAGATAAATTGAGGCAAAAATGTTATTGTTTACTATGCTTTATGTGAACATTAAAATGATAAAAAATAATAAATATATCTGAGCTTATAACAGGTATTGCAATTTCAATGTTACACAGTAATGTCATAATTTGACAGTTCATCAGCTCAGAAAAAATATTTTGCTTATATACAAGAAATAAGAGACATTTTCGGAAATGCATATTAACGATAATTAAAACATTATATTATTAGTACACCTAAACATTTTCGATTATTTCAATTGGCAGTATATTGTTACTTAAATAACTGATGTCAATAAATAATGAGTCCATAAAGTAAAACAATTATTGCAGCCAGTTTCAAGACATTAAAATTTAGTAGCTCGATAAACTTTGACGTTATCCCATCTGCATTGGTTCCCTCTACTAACCGGAGAGTTCTATAACACAGGTATCTGGTATATGAAAAATGTTAAACCATGCAAAAATGCAAAGGGGATTATAAAGAAAAATATATAATTCATTGTGAAGAAAAAAAATTTTTTTGACCTTATTTTACTGACAACTCTCGTATTTTGATGATTCCTATAAAAATATTACAGCTCCAGTTTTTAAAAATATGGGCAGATAAATAATTATAACAGACAAATTTTCTTATGAAATATTTAATTTTTCTAACCACAAGAAGTCTGATAACAATATACATGAAGTCTAATTAACGGCGCGTGTCAAAAATATAAAAACCTTATTATTATGGACAAGACAATGTAATAACAAATGTATTTATCAGTGTCCAAAATAAAAATAAAACTGAAACAATATTTAGATGCGATTTGACGTTTTACTTATAATCTCCCCGTATATGTTACAAACAAAACATATGCAGGGAATAACCGTTTTCACAAATTATTTTAATCTATTATGCTGATTTCCTCTTTAATAAAGAATTCTACAATTTCCTCCTCCACATTTTCGGAATCAGCATCAAGTTCATCTGTGTCCACATCTGAAACAATACATTACAAATCACAGTTTGGTAAATGATATAACTATAACGATTCCTTGCTAAATTAAGATAGGCAATACATACTCGTATATTCCAAACAAAGAGCATGAGATTTTTTTTTTTAAATTTGGAAAATATAATACACTAAACAACCTAAATTAAATACTTGGAAGCTCTAACGGCAGTTAACTTGTTAATAAAGAATTAAAATTCAGCTTACTGTTTCTGAGTTGTAAACGTCTCTCCTTATTTTCCAAATATTCTTGAATATGCTGATTTCTATATGTACTAAATTTATCCATAAGAGCAGCACGTTTCTCAATGAGTTCTTTAGAAGCCTTCGATTGCCTCATCCTGTCCTTGCTCTCGAACTGAGGATAATACTTCTTAAGGTTTTTCTTAATTTCCTTTTGTTTCTCTTCGGTCAGCAAAGTAGATGGTCGGGGCCTCCATAGAATTTGAGCGAATTTTTCCAAGTTTATACGTTTGAGAATCTTTCCTTGGAACGACCAAATCCAATATCCTAAAAACAAGAAATGTGTTACAGATAATTCAAATTGTATTCCGATTTATTCTATTTTCATCTTTGACAAAATGTAATGTAATAAGAGATGAACTGAAAAATATTGAAAATTATTTTTTCTCAAGCATCACTCATAGTTTATATCTCCTGGGTGACTTACAGTTGCAATAATGTTTAAATTACAACAGCGAAAATATTTGTTTTCTACTTTGGTAGATAATAAAATATTTTATTAAAACAAACTAGAAATATAACAAAGCATCAAATTTATAAATGTGGGACTTTAATCTAGAACCTAGAAGATATTCTCACCTGTATCAACTTTGGTTTTCCAAAATGAAACTCCAGTCACGACATATCTTCCGCTGGGATCCCACTCAACATCTGACATTTGGAAATGGTCAGTGGTGTTCATGATTAGAAACTCATGAGTATCAACAAATTCCAAAGAGCCTCCTCCATTAGAACCGAGACCAGCCAAAACGATAAATTGTCCGCCAGGTGACCAAAACAAGTGGTTGCATGCTCTTTTTTCAAATTTCTTTAAGATAATGGGAGCTTGACCCATTCTAACCTCATAGAAACTGTAAAAATGTGTTAAAATTATTCATTAAGACAAAATCAAGAAACAATAGTGAGAAGAATAGAAAAAGAAACACTTAAATGGTTTGGACATATTAATAGAAGGCTACATGACAGGATGAACTTAATGGGAAACAATAACACATTTGAAAGATACAATAGAACGACCCAGAAAGGCGTGGAATAAATAAAGGATGTTCATCTCTTTAAGAGCAAACCGAAATCTTGAAAATTTATAATTCCTTCTGAGCCTTTATTTTTAGTCCGATTTTTTTGAAATTTTCAGTAAATACGAATACTAACAAAACTAGCAGAATTTAAATAGGAGGGTTTTCCACCTTTTTTTAATGTCTCTGTAGACTGCTGCCATGTTGCACAAATTTAAAGCTCTCAATATGCTTATGACACATAACATTGGGAAGTATTCCCAGTGACGCGCATATTAATACAATTTTATATTAGAAAACCTCACAACATCTTTGCTTTCAAGAGGTCCAGTTTGCTCTTAAGCTAAGAATTAGGTCAAAAATAAGAAAGAATGGGCGAATGCTACAGTTCCTTGTTCATATTCTAGTCACTGGCCTTGTAATGTTTTATCAAAAAGTTGTAAATTTAGCTAACTTTAAAGTTCAATTAACATTCATTAAATCTGGTGTTGTTTAAATCTCCAACTATTTTAAATTTACAACTACTTGAAGCAGACAAATAAATGAAAATTTATAAATATACCTGACATTGATGTTTGGCGATTCACCATGAATCATTGCAAATTTGGAGCCAACTGGTTCCCATGCAAAAGCTTGTATCGGTTCCTTGCATTCAACACTATCCACAGGTATTTGCTTTTCTCTCATATGGAATACTTCAAAATTACAATACATACCTGAGTATTTTGTTTCATTTTTCTCTTTACGAACCTTAGAGTACCTAGAAAAAAATATGTTGGTACTAAAGCTGTCTTGTTCATTAATAAGATACTTGTTTTGAAGGTAACAAAATTAAAAACAGCTAAAATAATTTAAAATCAAATTAGTACCTGTCTACTTTGACACAGAGGTAATCTCCAGACTTTTGCCAATGAATTCTACAGTCAGCTACATTAAATAAGTTCTTCTTTCTAATCTCATTCCTATTGGGTAACTCTAGTAAAGTTACACTAGCAGGAACATCTTTATCTTCAGCAACCCAGTAGGCAACCACATTGTCAGTTGGTGACCAATTGAAGTCTCTGATACCATTGATCTTGATGGATTTCTTGTCCAGTAGACCAAAAGAAGGTGTTTCGTACACTTGGAGAGCATCATTGTTTGAGCCTATTCTTGCAAAGTACTTATCATCGTGAGACCAACGAAATATTGGCCAGGCAGTGGGGCCTTCAGGTTGAAAAGAACGTTTCTCAAGACCAGTTCTAGAATTATTTAAAAATTTTCAATTCATGAAAAAAAAAAACAGTATGCTAACAATATTAATACAGAGCTATTTTTTTCTGTCTGATAATGAAAACTATAATGGCAATAATGCTTCTCGTGTCTCCTGTTCCCGCCATCTTAGAAGACAACTATTTAAAGCACATGTCAGACAGGAAAAAATAGTAATGTATGAAAAAGATAATTATACAAGATATAATATGATAAAATGTACTTGCACTAATTGCAAATGTTGATATTTAAATAATTCTTTGTTAATGGTCCAACACCTGTCAATTAACAAATATTATTTTAATAAATTTGACATTTTACCCAACTATTGCCAGTGGCGAAGGGAGTAAAAATTTAGGCATCTTTTTTGATAAAGATTTCAACCTCATATCCAACATGTATTGCAACAATGCTATTTAAGACTACTCTTGCTTTTTGCTAGCAAACATATACTGACAAAAAACATGAAAACTACACTTACAGAAAGTTTAGTTTTGTCTAAAATACTGTATTATCAGATTATTTATTACCAGTGTTGTTAATAAGTGAAAACAAACGCAGGTTACAAGTTATTCAAAATACATGTTGCAAGCTCAATACCATTTTAAAACCTAAATTGGTTTAATATTCAACATTTGTGTGAATACATCACTTTAACATACAAATAAAAATCAAACCTCTAAACCAACCTACTTTAAAGACAAGTTAGTTCCATTAGAGACAAGTATTTGCTTAATATCGCAGTTCCACTTATCTACATATACCAGATATTTTATATACAATGGCACAAAACTGTACAATAATTTAAACAACAATATTAAATGTATTAAAATTCCTACAAGAAAAAACTAAAACAATGACTCTTAGTATCATAATTATTTTAAACATTATGTTAGATTTTTTAATATAAAAATATTAGTTGTGTGTATATTATTTAATGTGTAACGCCTTATTTAATTTCTAATTGTAATTTATATTCAACATGATTTCGACTTTTGAATTTTATATATTTTTTTATATTTTATTTTAAACAAAAACTGCCATTATAATCGAAAAATTTGATTAGGATATGTACATTTTACAATGAAGAACTTGTATAATTAATATAGATGTACCACTCTTTTTACCTGATATCCCATATAATAATCCTCTTCTGCTCAGGATTATGGGGATCACCTTGGGGCGAATAAGTTACAAGATATCTTTCACATGGCGAGTAGTCAATAAATTGGACATTGACATGTGCAAACTTCTTATATTGAGTGAACTTAGGACCTGCCCAAAGTGCTATACCTAACTTATGAAAAGTTGACAGAAAGGTACCAAGTGGTGACCATTTTATATATGAGTGAGTCCAGTTCTAAAACAAAAAACAATATATTATATGAAAGGTAGGTAATATTTTAAATAAATATAATTTTTGTTGCAAAGTAAAAATAAAGAATATAATTATTATATACAGGGTGTTACTTAATGATTTCTAATTCCAAGGGCGCATTCCTGAACCAAGTTCAAGTAGAAAAGTTCATGTAAACCTGTGTCTAAAAACTTTGGTTTTCAAGATACAGTGTCAAGTTTTTTAAAAAAGAATAGTTTTTTATTAATATCTCAAAGTTTCTTTTGTCAATTTTGTTGAAATTTGGCAGTGTTCTTCATTGTGATAAGACTAATTAGGTGATAATTATGAATTCCAGTGGCGTCGAGGGGGGAAGTCTCACAAATAATATTGACCAAAAACATATACACTACTTTTTTAATTTTTTTTTTCGGATTAAACAGCTAAAAAACAACTTTTTTGTCTTCTGATATTTTTTCCTATTTTACTTCGTTTTCGAGAAAAAAATAAATAAAAACCTTATTGCATATAAAAAAATTGGTAAAATAAAATCAAGTTAACTTTAATTGTTGCACAATATTTATTTATAAGCCATGTTTTAAAGTCAATAATTTAACAGAATATTCACAACAAATGTTGGAAATGACCACCTCCCACTTTTATGCAGGCTTCTGCTCTTTTTCTCATCAAGTGCAAACTCATTCGAAAATTCCATGAGTGTTATGTATGGTTTCACATCCGTCAACAATTCTATTCCTTAGTTATTCTAGTGTCTCAATTGATGTAACATAAACTAATGATTTTTGGTGCCCCCATTAATAAAAATCTAGGCTGTTCAAGTCGGGCGATCTAGTTGGCCAGAATTGTGGTCCTCCATGACTTATCCAACGATTTTGGTAAGCACCATTCAAATACTAATGAGCCAATATGCTAAAGTGGGCTGGAGCACCATCATGCATGAAGCAATGTTGTTGCCGTAACTGAAGATGAACATCTTCAAGAAGTAAAGGCAAATCATTTTGTAGACAAATTACTGTAAGACTGTCCGTTAAGTCTTCCTGGCAAAAAAAAATGGTCCAATGAAATAGTCACCTATGATACCGATTCAAACATTGAGAGAAAATTATTTCTGAAAATGGGTCTCTGTAATAGCATTGGGATTTACTTGGACCCAGATATGATTATTTATGAAAATTAATCATTGCAGTCTTTAAAAAAATACCATCTACAAAATTGCGTATGCAATTCAAAATCTCTTGGAAGAAGAGCATGAACTTTTTGTATGTGGTAAGTATACAACAAAGAATCTCTTAAAATGTTCCATACCATTTTATAGCAAATATTTAATCCCTTACCAATTTTACCCACGGAGATATTAAATTTAAAACTGCCAGATTCAGGCAGACGACGAAGAATGTTTAAGAATATTTTTCTAGCAGTAGTCAGAATTGATGGATTATTTATTTACCTACTTAATAACAATGTCTAAATTGTATATTTGGATGAAACATGGTACGACATTCATGACACTGTGAAAAAGAGCTGGACAAATAATAATAAAAAATGTTCGAATACAGTACCACCCAATAGAGGAAAAATAATTTTGTTACACTTAGGAGGAGAAGAGGGATGGGCTATGGATGCTCTACGGATTTCTGTAAAACAAATTAAAGATGCGTCTTTAGACTACCATGACGATATGGAAAGTGCTTTTTTTGAATCAAGGTTCGAAAAAATTCTGCTCCTAAAATTGCCAAACCAAAGCGTCATAGTCATGGATAACGCTTCATATCATTTGGGGTTTATTAGAAAAATTCCGAATTCTAATTTTAACAAACGAGAAAGCCAAGAATTTCTACATGAGGAAGATTTGTAGAAAGTTATACCAAAAAACAATTATTAGAGGTTCTTAATATTAAAGAATATAAAAATAAATACATTGTTGATAACTGTGCTCTCAGAAATTGACATACCGTGCTTAGACTCCCTCTGTAGTTTTGCATATTAAACCCAATAGAGTTAATATGGGCGCAATTAAAAGGAAATGTAAGAAGAAACAACGTGGCTCCAAAATTATCTTCGACTGTTCTCCAATTGGAATAAGGGCCTATCATTAAGTAACACCCTGCATATTTGTACCAGAGTGTGGTCCGGATTCTATATTAACACACATATAAAAGTATAAACATGTTAAAAAATAAATAATTTGCTGTTTTAATTGGAAAAGTTACATGACATTGGAATGAATATATTTAAAGATGAGCTAATGTAACCAATATCTGCTTTTAATGAATTAGCTGTTAGCTGAACATTGACTAGGTGAACTTAATTTAATTATTATAAATTATATTCCTATAACTTAGTAGTTTTTACAGTAAAAATTCAATGTAAGGTTAAAAAATTCAATTTTAACTTGTCAGTTGATTCTCACTTTTCTCATGCATAAAAATCATATCTCCAAAAATCACAATTTTATGCATATAAGTATATAGAGCACCTTCAGCCGATCTTAAAATATTTCAGATCCCAAAGAAAGGTTTTACTGAAAAAAAGCCTATATATACAGTGATTTTAATACACAGGGTGTTTCAAAACGATTGGTCATAAATTATACCACATATTCTTGGGTCAAAAATAGGTCGATTAAACCGTACTTACCTTTATACAAAAGTGCGCCCAAAAATAGTTACAGGGTGTATAAGATAAAACATTAAATGATTTTTTTTTAACATTGCTCTTAAACCGTTTGGCAAATGAAGCAACCAGGCAGCCAAAAACTACCAAAACATGTATTGATAATTGTTTAACAAATACAGATGTTATTAAAAATAAGATAAACTTATAACAATATAAATACAAAATATTCATAACAATTAAAATAACTAGTTTGAAAACTATCTTAGAATGTGGAATGGAAAAACTTAAATCTGATCAACAACATAAAAACAATGTTTGATAGTTTTTTAGAAACACTGCCTTATACACTAATCAAATTTTTACTAAAACAGTGCACAATGCAAATAAAAATAAGCAATGGTACAATGAACATTTGAAAATAAAAAGAGAGGAATTAAATGTATTACATAACCTGAATAAATGCATTGGTAATGTAAATTTAGATGACGAAACTAAAGAAAAAACCTACCAAAAACACCAAGTGTGATTACTATGCTAAACAAATATCATTCACCAAATAAATCTAGGTCTAGGTATATGGAGGATTATAAATAATTCAAAAACACAGAAGCATTCTTTAAGTTCAATTAATATAACACCCACACTGCCGTCCAAAAAATATATGCCATGTCAACAAAAAAATCAGATTTTGAGATTTTTACATCAAATGGTTCATGGCAAGCTAAATTAACTTTTTACCAAGCAGAAATGCTGTATATGTTTTCAAATTATTAAACATCCAACATAATAAATAGCAGTATCTGAATACTTAAGTAAATAACTTTAAACCCCATTTTATCCGCTTGGTGCTCTCAGTAGATAGCATCTTTTGGAAGTACAGTTATTAACACTTATTTTACTAACAACTCATAAAGATCTAAAAACCCTATTGAAGTAGTAAAACAACATGTTAAATTCAGTAAAACATAATTTATCTCCAGTAACACAATATCAAGTAAAATATATAAATAATTTATCAAATAGCATTGTACTAGACATCTTTGCGAGGGGCAAATCACTCCCGCAATACGTGTACAAAATGTCCGCAATCCCATTGAAAATCGCCGCAGTCTCATCAAAATCAGTGACAATCGCTAAGAAATCGCCGCAGTCGTTCCGAATTCGCTCGCAGTCGTTCCGAATTCGCTCGCAGTCGTTCCGAATTCCCTTGCAGTCCCCCGAATTCTCTAGCAGTCACTGAGCAATCACTAGCAATCGTTAAAAATCGCGCGCAGTAAGGTGACATTAACCAATTAGCCATTGTTGATGTAGGGTGCTTTGATTAAGCCATCTAAACCATTTTATGTAAAGAAATTGCAGTTTACATTTATCGAAAGGGACCTTCCGTGCATTTTGAGGCAAGAACTATTAAGTTAAATTTACATTTTGGAATTTGAAGGTTTTTTTAGGATAAATTTAGACACTTTACAAGGTGGTCGAAAATTGTCCCTTTTCATCTAGTTTTTTTTTTAATGTATAACAAAATTGTTGGTATTTTATGGGGGTTGGGGTGATACACGTTTTAATTAGGGTTTTAAATGTATTTTTACTTTCCTATCTGTTTACAGATAAGGAAAGTATTAGTATGAGAGCCCACTGCAAATTTCGACCGTCATCTGATAACGAAATGAAATATGCTCCAATAGCATGTAACAACATTGTACTTTACCAAATTGCACCTGTGCCAATCCCTATCCTGAGCAAAGTGGTTAAAAAAAATTATTTTATATTCTTAAAATCAAATAAAACATGACAGCGACAATTATGTTTTCCCTGAAAATTACGATCCTAATTCATTGCGAATCTCGCTTTTAAACCTGAATTATTAATATTTTTACCTACCTTTTAAACCATGTTTATATATGAAAGGAAGAAGGATGGTATTGTATAAACCATTTGCAGAGATAGTCAATAATATTTATAAACTCTTGTTAGACAATTATTTTAAACCATAATCATAGTAGTTTTTTTGTCGTTTCTATGGCAACCTGTAAAAATGAATCACAACAATAGGAATACAAATAAATTTTTAAATCAGCAAACATTGATTCATATTTTTAATGATATTTACCTACTAATCGTGGATAAATGTTTTTGTGCGATGTTAAGAGGAAGAAAATATTTCCCTTTAACGATATATATCAAGATATATTTGAATGTTATTTTCTGGAAAACTTTAAGGGCAAACGAAATTAGAGCTGTCATGCCTTATGTGATTTTTTTAATATAAAATAATTTTTTTAAGCTACTTTGCTCAGGTTAGGGATTGGCACAGGTGCCATTTGGTAAAGTACAATGTTTTTCCATGCTTTTGGGGTATATTTCACTTCGTTATCAGATGACGGTAAAAATTTGCAGTGGGCTCTTGGGCTATATAGGAATCATGATTTTTTTCGACCTCGAATTTTCGTCGGTTTTTTATGTTTTGGGGTATCCTGAATCTGTTTTGACTATTTTCGCGATGATGTTTGTGTGTGTGCCTGTATCCTCGATAAGTCATGAACGGATACAAAGAAAAACACCAAATTTTAAACTTAAGCTTTATTCCGGCGTCCAATTAGCTGATTAGATTTTGGGCAGAGTCGGAACATTTGGAGGGTACTTTATAGTCATCATTTTTATATTTTATGGAATATATCTGTTATTTACGTTTGGAGAAGAAATTTTTTCAAATAAAAGTTACTTACAATATTATTATCTATAACAAAATGTAAAAAAAAATATTTTTTTATAAAAATTGTTCAAATAAAAGTTGTTTGTAATATAATTCTCTATAATTTTTGCCCTATACATAATTTCTCTAAAATGGACCGTATTCGAGATATTTAAGAAAATGTGTAAATTTCGAATTTTAAAGAAAAATCAAAAACGGATAAGTAAAGTAAAAAACATTAAATTTTAAACTTAAGTTTCCATATATGATGTAGATAATGAAAAGAGCATTTTTTATGGATTGGAAGATCTTAATATAAAGGTTTTTCGAAATTGCTACACAAAAAGTGATTCTGATACCTCATTTTTAAACATAATTGTGAACAACAAAAAAATGAAGGTAAAAAATCAGCTCTTTGTTGGTTATTTTCCACTGAAGACGGGCGCTTGTCAACTGACAGATTATCTCGTGTAAAAGGAACATCCTCAGCAGTACTAAATAACAAAAAAAAAACAAGTCCAGAAAAAACACAGCTAAAATACCAAATAACTACAATGACAAAGATGTAACACAAAGTGAAAAAACTACCGGTGAAAACACTTTGCTCCAGAAAAATATCAATGGTATTTTAATTAGGAACGAACAATATTACGCAATTCTTTACGAGTCGTGGTACATAGGTCGGATTGTTCAAATAATTGATGAAACCACTAGTAAAATAAATTTTTTAAAATCTGAACTTGAAGAATAGTTATGGCCAAAAAAAGACGACATTCAAATTGTTAAAAATAAATTAATATTTTACGGACCCATCAATTCAATTGGATCTGGTCCATTTAAACTAGAAACAAACATCAATAAAATTTGTAAACGTCTAAAAAAACACTTTTATGAAATTTTTAAATAAAAAACCTCCAATTACTTAATTACTTAACTTGTTTTATTTACCTGTACCTATTTGTTCATTTAGGCATATCAAACATATCTAATAATGGAGGCATATAAGTACCTACATAGAAGTTTATATTTCGGGTATCACATCAATTAAAACTGATCTTTTGAATGAATAAAAAACGTACAAAAAGTTGATTTATTGATAAATTTGTCGTACACACTTACGTTTTAAATCAATGCATTGTATTTAGCACCTATACATGCGCTATACAAAATTTAGTTTTTCTGATGAAACACCTAGCTAATGCTTTTTTTTACTGGAAACCAACTGGTAAGCCATACAATATCGTAGAAATCCTTCGGAATGCGTGCAATTTTGCAATAATACTGACAATCCATACGTACGAGTAAATCGCCGCAATCAATAGGGAAATTGCCGCAATCAATAGAGAAATCGTTGCAGTCAATACATAAATCACCGCAGTCACGGGAAATCTGTCGGAAGTCATGTGGAAATCACCGCAGTCATCCAGAAATCGCCGCAGTCATCTAGAAATCGCCGCAGTCATCCAGAAATCGCCATATGATTGCGGAAATCATATGAATTCGGCAATACATGTACAATTTTACAAAGAGTGATTTGCCCCTCGCATCTTTGGGTTAAGTAATAAAATATTAAAAATGATATTATGTTTCACCCCCACTGTTTTCTACAGATTTCTGTAGTAATTTTTGAAATATAAAATGTACATGTATGATGCTAAATCATGTAAATGATAGAGCAAATAAATTATTCTTTTTTCTTCTGTATTTCAATTCTTGTTCTTTGTAATTATTTATATACTATTCTGTTTTTATTTTTTTCATGTCTATTTGTTATTAATACTATAAGACTTACAGATCATTATGTTATTACTATGTAAATAGTATGCTATTATGTCAACTAGGAAGGTTAAGGGTTAAGAGTAGCTGTATAGCTAACCTTTGCCTCCCTGGTGCAAATGTATATGTATGCATTTGTTTTAATAAAGACGTATTATTATTAATTAAATAGTGCAAACAAGGACTTACACTTCTCACTTCAACAGTTGATGGATCAGGTTGGGTGTTTTGCCATATTTGCACTGTCTGGCCTTGAGCTGTTACAACAGCAAATTGGTCAAATGCATCAGGATCTAATAAATAATAGTGCATATCAGCCTGACCCTGATACGGCTGAGGTTCTGGGGGCTCCCACTTATTTGGAATCTGTTCATATTTGTTAAAATCAGTAAAAAGATTTACTTGAAATGTATGTTGTTTATCAAGTTTCAAGTTGTTGGTGAGTTTTACAGCTTCAACAGCCTGAGCTGGTGATGGATATTCAATAAAAATATAACCCTTAGTATGACCTTCTTGGTTAACTGGATAATATTCATTCACTATAGGGCCTGCTTTTGCGAATATTTTATTTATAACAGATTTTAACTTTTCAATACGGTTGGGACCCACTTGGGGAACTCCATCTACAACGATAACGCTTTCTACGCCATCAGTCTCCTTAGGTTTTGTCTTCAAAATATCCCCTACCAGCTCTAAAACAAAAAATATATGCAATCTACATAACCTATAAATTTTCTGACATATGGACCATTTACGATATAACTGCTATTTTAATCTAAAAAGACCGTTAAATATGTAATATCAAAACCGATTTAACCTAGTATACGTTAAAAATGACCAAGAACCGAAACAATTTCTTAGAATTAAATATGACCAACAGCATGGAAAACTGAAAGTTTGCCTTCTAATTTCTAGTAAATACCTTCATCGGAGACGTCATCGACATATCCTTCGGGATCGCTGAAGTTTGGTTCTTCCTCGTTAGAGGAATAATCACTTTCATTTTTAGTATCATCATCGTTTGGATTATTTTTATCGTCTGCTTTCTTTTTCGCCATTTTAACACGCGTGGACGTAAAATTAAAGGATCGGGGGATCGGCAATCGGCAACGTCAAATAAAATTCAAAATGCGCTTGTCAAATTTCAAATCTTAAGGTGGGTTCAGAATGACGAGAAAGAATTTCTGTCCCTCGCTACACTTTGCTTAACCAATCAAAGATATGTACTTCTTGACCATCTGGGGACCTATACAGCATAAACACATTTCGGAAATATTTCAACAATGTTACATTGAAACATTTGTAATGTTGTATAAATATTACGAAACATCCCAGAAACATTTCTGAAATATGTCTGACACGTAAAATTGTCATCTAAATATAATATTTCACAGTAATATTTTTGAAATATAAATTAGAAATCTTTTAAAAATATTAAATAGTAATATTTCAGAAATGTATTCTAGTTTTTTTTTTTCTAATATATTATTAGACTAAAAAAAGATATTTAAAAATATACATGTTTGTTTAAAATACACAAAACTCAAACATTGATTCTCAAACAAACAAACAAATAAAAAAATATGTTTTAAAGAATATTTCATAAAATATAGAAGTGAATTGCTTAATTTCCACCAATTCCTTTAAATGCACTAATTTTTGAAACATCTAGATAAAGAAACATTTACGATTATTATAATCTCATTAAGATCAATTAGCAATTTTATTTTTACCTAACTGTGTGATGATTAAAGTTTGGACATAGTCGAATCATCCGGCGAATACTTTACAGGGTGTAGTTTTTTTTACTTTAAGAAAATAAATAGTCATGATCGTATTTTCTTAGACAACTCATTTGTAGTATATTTATAAACATTATTTATTTAATAAAAAAAACTTCCATCCATTAATCAAATGGGTGAAGGTCGATCTTACTTCGGATCTTAGACCACGAGTAAGTAGAACCATTGTATTTAGAGATCTAAATACAATGGTAGAACAGAAGTAAAAGTTGGAAATGCTTTTGCCAGTTCTCCCACTTTATATACATAACTTGACAGGTTGTCAGCGGATCTCACCGAAGTGGACACGATACATTGGCGTACAAAATTATTTTATAGATGTTAATAACAATTTCGAGTAAATAGTTTAATAAATTGTGAATAGCTGTTGAAATTTTGTAAAATTATAATTTTAATATTATAATACATGTTTAATAATTATTTATAATCCATAAATACATGCGATTGTCCGGTTCCGCCGATAACAATTTAAAATTACTTATTCTATGAAACGACACTGGCAGGTAAACATTACTGTGAAATTCTCGGAGCCGCCCGAAGTGGTTTGACGTTTACCCCCTCTCTACCTACCAAAAGACTTTTCAACTTTTACTTTCTCTATATACCTACCTAAAGGGTATGGTCTGTGTACCTACCTACGTACAAGTGTTCTGTGCTACGTACCTACCGGCCCTGCTTAAGGAAAGAGCGGTGTCCTTTTTACAGTATAGTTAGGAAACCAAAAAAAAATATTGGTAAAATTTTTAGATATATCGACAAATAATAACGAACCATGGCCCGCTCTAACCTTCATGTCACTCTTGATAAACAAACAATTTGCCGCCCCGTATTTATACAGGGAATATTTTTTATTGCGCAACATAGGATATATTAAATCCATGTTTGATTAACATTGTCTCGTGTTTGCTTTTAAATGGCAGACAGGTGTTCATAAAGTCTATTTCATTTACATTTATCTAAAATTATCATTAACCAGTTTTTTTTAAATAAAATAAAAATTATGTTAAAATCATTTATTTAAAAAAATATATGTAATGCATAATAAACATTTAAAAAGGGCAAAACTTAAAAGTACTTATACATATAAGGTGCATTTTTATTGCTATACTTATATTCTATTAGGAAAGTACAAAAAATTATTGCATAACCAAACAGAGAAATTTTACATTCCATAAAAATATAACTATAAAATAAAGTAACCTAAAAGAAATTTTTCTTTCTAACTTTGATTTCCGCAAATGTTTTTATTACATCTTTTAAGTTAACTTGATCAGCAATTTCATGCTCACTTCTAAAATGGCCAACCCATTAAGACGATTTTGCGTTGTAGTTGAACGTAAAAAGTTCTTAATCAATTTTAATTTGGAAAAACTTCTTTCTCCACTTGCAACAGTTATATAGACAGCAATACTCTTAAGGAAACGCTTAGGTTTGGGGCACAATTTAACATTGTTATTAATTTTAGAACAATACCTGGACTTTCTTTTTTGCCCATACGCCCAGATACTGCACAAATTTCTTCTGCTAATTCTACCCCATTAATATCAACAAAATCACCGTGAGTTAAAATACTTTCTAGATCGTTGTAATGTTTTAAAGGATTTTCTTTAAACATGCCCTTTAAATCATATATATTATATAAAAATTGAAAATAATTACTATGGTGACCAAGTTGTTTAAGGGTCGATCTTTTTATTTCTGAGTAAAGTTACATGTAGGTTTACTTGACAGATTAACAAACGATAGTAGTTACTTTCAACTTTACTTATAATTTTCTTTAGGATTCTCGATCGGTTCATCTCGTGCTTCGTATGAGAAATTCCTTTTCTTCTTCTTACGCGGTGTCGTGGTATTGTTGATTCAAAATTGGCTTCAACGTCAATTTCGTCAGCCAGTTCTCTCGCATCAACAATAGTTTTATTAAAAGATTTATCCGATCGAAGATCCTGAAAAAACTTTTTGAAATTTTGAAAAAGATCAAGTGCAGATGCTAGATCATAATCTTTTGTCTGCAAAAATTTGTTTATTGAATTAATATAGTTTAAAATTTTATACCAAAGAACTATTGAACACAAAAATTTAAATTGTTTAATACAACTTAATAAACCCGATGCTTCGTCCCTTATTAAATTATCAATTTCTTCATTCTCATAAATGCTTAGCAAGGCGTCGTATACGCCTTCGATATAAAATCTTAAATGTTTTAAAGCCTCTATCATACTCTCCCATCTAGTATCACTTAAAGGTTTTAAAGTCAAACCCTGGACATGTTTTAGAAAAGCGAAAAGTAGATGGTGAAAAAAATACATATATTTTCTGAATCATATTAAAGAAGTTGGCGCCTTCCAAAGATGCCTTTACCATGTCGTTAACTACTAGATTGAGAGAGTGACTACTACATGAAACCTAGATTTAAGTTCTTAATCCTAGATTGCACTCCTGATTTATCGCCCAGCATATTAGACCCGTTGTCATATCCTTGTCCTCTTATATCCTGTAAATTTAAACCCATATTATCAAGTTTTGCAATTATAATTTCAAACATTTGCTTCCCAGTAGACCTTTCAACTGGAAGAAAACCCTAAAAGCTTCCATTAATTTTAATTTCAACCTCATCTTGATTGGAATTAGTTTTATTGATTGAAACATACCTGATTACAAGTCATTTCTTCCACCTTAAAAATATCAGGAGTGCGATCTAAAACTATCGAATAATATTTAGATTTTTTATTTCATTAATAATATAAGATTTCACACTTTGATGCAACAGGTCTATTATCTCGTTCTGAATATTTTTCCAAATATAGTGAGCTTTGGATTCTTCTTTTTTAAGCACGTACGTGTTTTTCCATGATGGGATCAAATTCAGATAGCAGCTCAACTATTTTTAAGAAGTTACCGTTATTATGCACAAACAGCTTGGCGTTTTTAGTGAATGCTACGATTCTTATAAGCACTTTCTTACCAATGGGTTATTTCAGCGTTAATAAGTCTTTAAGAATCCGCATCTATAGTTTTACAACACTAGTCTTAGGTTCAGTCCTAGAAAAGATTTTTGGGACTGAATATGATTTTTAGAAATTTGGTAATATTTAGAATTTGATTCAGATGCTTTTAACTTTTATACCCCTCCTTTGAAAGGGAAGTTCACAGCCAAAAATTTTGCAGCAAAAGCAATATACGCAATTTTTTGAGATATACTACACTAGCCAGTCTCTTAAAATTTGCTCTCCATTACTTAAAATTCTTTTATAATAATTAGGGCTAAATTTTCTTTTAGTCTCATGGTATGGAAATCTATAATTGTACATTGGTTTAGGTGGACCTTGCCTTACCAAAAAAATTCTTTCTGCGTCTGGTAGTATCATTGGCCAGAGTGCTGAATCTGTACTTAAAGGTTGTTGAACGCTTTCTGCAGGTGCCACGTTGGTATCAATAGGGCTCTCATTTGACGACGGAGGGCTGCCACTGTCAGTTGCAAATATCAGTTTAGGTATATCGTTCATTTTTCTCAGGTGATTCTCTGTTGTTAGTGTGTTTCAATGTTGTCTTTGATGTAGAACATTTTGAGTCGCCATTTGATTTGGTACTGCCTGACGTACTTTGTAAATAATTTAGTAAAGTGTCTGCTTGTCTTTGCCTTTGCATTTCCTTTTCCACCCTTCGTTTTTTATATTCGCAACCAGATAGTTTTCTGCGTCCGTCGGACATTCTGGAAGATACACAAAATATCTCAAATAAAACAAAGCAAATTATATGGAAATTGTCTTACAACAGACAAGTACTGCACTTTTTTTATGCTCATTTAATATCTAGGGGAACGATTAAGCAGTTTAATATGTTTTTTTATATTTATAAATTATGTAATAGTAGTAAAATAGTAACGAACCTACCACACCTGATACCTTTCAAATTTGAAAATTTATAATCTCTTGCATTTAACACAATTTAAAATGGTATAAAATAAGGCAATGTACAATTTAGTCAGATCATGCATAGATTTATTCTAGAGAGCTCAATGATTAAATAAATATTTTAATTTTATAAAATACCTAACAAACTTTTAATATTTTTAAGAAAATTTTATTTATAAAACTAGGTAAAAATATTCGTAGCTTTACTTAAAAGGGATCGCATCCAGTAGTTGATAATAAAAAAAAATTAATCAGGGTCTATTGGTCAGTAAAATTATTCAAAAAAAAATCAAGCTTTAGGGTATACCGTATATTTCATAACCTTTTTTAAGGTATTTGAAAAAGCTCCTTCGCAGATGAAAATTAAATTTCGAAAACGATTTTTTAACGAAACATTAACAAATTTCAGTTCTTTTAAAATTATCAAAAC